ATTTTAATTTTCTTAAATAATAAAGAAAAATATAAGGAATATATCTATAAGGTTTTAAAAGCCTTATAAGATATTAACTTATTAATTAAATTAGAAAAAAGTTACTTTTATATAAAAAAAGTAAACTTTTAAGATATATTATTATACCTAGTAAAATTAAAATAAAATAAAATAAAATCTTAATAGTAGTAAATTAGCCTTTACTAATAATAGTTAAAGAAGTTTAAAGCTTTTTAGGATTTACTAATTATTACTAAAGATTTATTAAAGACTTTAGTAAAATTATAAACTTACTTATAAAACTTATAAAGAAAGATAAGAAATTTATATAAAAATAAGATATATAAGCAGTATTTAAAGCATTATAATAAGCTATCCTTAGCAAACCTATATTAGTTATATTTAACCTTAATAAGGAAATAGAACTAGAGACTGATTTATTAGATTTTGCTTTAGGAGGATAAATTAAATAATAAGATAAAAAAGGAATGCTTTACCTAATTATATTCTATTCCTATAAACTATATAAGGCAGAACTAAATTACCTTATCTATAATAAAGAATTCCTAATAATTATTAACTACTTTAAGGAGTTTAGGCATTATCTTATAAGAAATATATATTAAATTAAAGTTTATACTAACTATTAGAATATTTTATACTTTACTATAATATAAAAACTTAACTAATAATAATTATATTATATAAAATACCTATATAAATTTAACTTTATAATTATTTATTATAAAGGTTTAAATAATAGATAAGCTAATACTATTAATTAATACTTAGATTATAATACTAATATAATAAAAGTAAAGAAATAACTCTTAAAAAAGAATAATAAAAAGAATACTAATTTATATAATAAGTAAAAACCCTAAGACTTATAAATAACTATAAACCTATAAATTAAGAAAAATAAATAAATAAAATTTAAAAAAATACTATAAGATATAACCTTTAAGATCTTATTAAAAGTAGAGCCGAAATGCCTACTTATAATAACAAACTATAGGTACTTAAATAGTTTAAAAAAGAATTAATATAAGATATATATAGATATCCCCTATATAGCTACTAAGGCATTAAGAAAACCCTAAAATGTATCTAGATATATTATAATTAAGAAGAAATTAAAAAGATAGTAAAAAAGGTTATTAAATAATATAACTTATATATAAAAACTAAAGCATAATAATATAAACCTTATAGCCTACTATAACTACTAGAAGTAGTAGAAAGACTATAAAGTTTAATTATAATAAACTGTATAACTAAGCTACCCTTATTAAAGGAACCCTTAACTAAAATCTTTTATAATAATATTTTAATTATAATAAATTAACTTATTAAATTTTCTTATTATATACCCTATAAGGAAGATATATATATAAAGTAACTTTCTTATATCTTCTATAATAGGATAGTTAGAAAACATAAACTACCTTATAAAATCTTAATAAATAGAGGAATAATATTTATAAGTAAATTTTAGCAGGTATTAATATTATATATAAGACTAAATTACTAACTCTTAATAGCATTTAGACTATAAATAGATAAATAAACTAAATAGATAAACTAAGTATTAAAACAATACCTATAATATTATATTAATTATAAATAAAATAATTAGGTAGAAAAGTTACTAAGTGCCTAACTTGCCTATAATATAGTATATAATAAAAGTATTAAGATTATACCTTTAGTAGCTAATTTTAGATTTACCCTAGACCTATATTATATAGTATAAAAATAAAAAATAGTTAACCTAGCTACTATAATTAAAAGCAAAGACTTAAAAGCTCTATATAAGGAATTAAAAAAACAATTAAAATTTATTAAAAAATAAATAAAGAAATACTATAATATAAAAAGGATTAAGAAACTAACCTTTTTAAAAGGAAATATAATTTACTTAGCTATAAAAAACATTATAATAAAACAACTAAGCTATAAACTAAACTATAAATATATTAAGCTATATAAAATAAAAAGAAAGATTTTAGAAAATAACTATAAACTAGACCTACTACTAAAAGTTAGGCTTTATCTAATCTTTTATATTTTACTACTTAAATTAGCAGCTAATATAATATAGGTTAAGACTAGTAATAAACTAAAAGAAATTAAAGGACTAAAAGTCTATAAAGCAGAAGTAATTAGAGATATAAGGAAAATTAATAAATAAATAAAATACCTTATTAAATAAAAGGATTACTTAGAAAATAAAAATATATAAGAATTATCTAAATACCTTACTAATGCCTAATAACTCTTAAAGAACTTTTACTAATAAGCTTAAAAGAAATATTACCTAAAATTAAGTTCTAATTAACTAAATCTATAGCGCCTAAGGACTAAGCCTTAAAAATAATTATAAATTCCTCCTAAATCTTACCTAACTCCTCTTAAGATTATATTCCTTATATAAATAACTTATTACCTTTTTGCTTTAATAAATACTTCTATTTGTAAATATACTTTAACTTTATTATAATAGCCTTTAAAACTGCTTTAGTTTCTTCCTCTTCCTTTTCTAGCTTAATATAAACCTTTTTATTCTTCTTAACTATTAAGAAATTAGAAAAAAAAGGAATAAATAAGATAAGAAACTTATAATAAGAAGTAATACCTAAACTATTATATATTACTTTAGCCTTAATAAAGTTTTAATATTAATAAGACTAATTACCCTTAACTTAATAAGAAAGGCTATTATAAAAATACTAAGAATATATTATAATTTTATTATTAAACTTAATAATATACTTAAAAAGTTTAACTGCCTTTAGTATTTTTAAATAAGGTTTACTTTTTAAAATATAACTTAATATTTTATTAGTATTAAAATAAAAATAAAATTAAGTTTAAACTTATAATTAATAAATAAATAAAAGGATAGATATACAGGTCTTGAGGATAAGACTTAATAAAGGGGAGAGATTATATTATAACTCTAGTAGTTATATTATATAAACCTTATTATATTTCCCTAATTATAAAGAAGGACTTAAATTAGTAAGTTAAACTAGCCTTTTAAATAGTTTAGTTTACTAATAAGATAAAGACTAAAGACTCTTATTTAATAATCTATTTAAACTAATATATAAATATTACTAGTTTATAAAGGACTAATTCTATTTTACTAATAGTCTTTATTATAACCTTAAGTATATAAATTATATTTACTAATACCTTTATAGATTCTAGCTTACTAGCTATTAATAAGACTTCTTTACCTAAATATACCTAACCTGCTTTATTTACTATTAAGAGATATAATACTTTATAACTTCTTAGTATAACGCCCTATAACTTTATAAATATTAAACCTAGTATAGACTAGTTTACCTATTTAAAACCTATTTTATTATAATAATACTAAGTATTATAAAGTATTATATTTTTTAATAATTAAGTAATATATATTAGGCTTATTAATATAAAGATATTTTATTAATAACTAATAAGTTAAGTTTTATAAAAGTGCTAATAAGTATATTTTATATACTAAAGGTAGTTTAATAGCTTAATAAGAAATAATAGTAATCTAAAGGTTAGATCTCTAAGGATTATTAGTAATTTATAGTAATCTAGTCTTAGAGTATTGTAATTTAAGTAATCTAATAGAAGAGGATTATTACTAAGAGAAGTAATCCTTTTATAATAGGTAGAAATTATAAGGGCTATATAATATAGCTATATAGGTTATAATAAGGCTATAATTAAAATAATTAATTATAATAATTTAACTTAATAAAGCTTTACTTATTATAAAGATTATAAAGATTTAAATTATTTTAAATTTTAAAAATAATTAAATATATCTTTTAAGGTAAATTTATAAACTTAAAAAAAAGTAAATTTTAATTTATAGAAATTCCATTTTTAGTATTATAATATTAAAGAAATAATAGTTTAATAATTTAAAAAATATTTATTATTTTAACTTTATTAGTAAAACTTTATATAATAAAATTTTTATATATTAAATATAAAATTATTTTATTAATTTTTATTTAGGCTTTAATTAATTAATTAAAGCTTAATATATATTTTAATATATTATTAAGAAATATTATACTTTAATAATATATAATATTATACTTTATATTAATTATTAGTAATATATTTATAATTAATTAATTAATTTATAATTATTAATTTATTTATAATATTTAACTTAATAATTAAAATAATTTTTATATAATATTAAAATTAAAAGAGTTATCTAACATATATAAATATAATTAAGTAATAATTATTTAAAGATATATATTAAAGCTTATATTAAGATTAACTACTTTTATCTTTATTATTATAGAGAGTCCCTTGGAGGGAGCTTTGGAGGAACTGGTGGTTGAGCTTTCAATACTGAAGGAGATAGACTCTCTGTTTCGTTCGCTGAAAAGCTGGAACTAAAATCATTTTCTTGACAAGTTCTGTTAAAATACTGAGAAAATGAAGAAATTCCGCGATGTTGGTATGGAGGCCGTAACCCAAGAGAATTAAGGTGTATTGTTTGCGGCATTGCTTGGAATTCTGTTATGTTATACTGATCTTCACATGGCGGTGATACCGGATAAGAGGACCTGGGTTTATAAGGAGGATCCGAATTAAGGCCTGAAGATCCTCGGAGAGGAGTGTGCAAAAATGTGCCATGTAGTGTGCTCGGAGTGCGTCTGGTCGCCTGGATATCGGCAGAGTTGAGGTATCTCTGTTGGCTATATGGCATCTCCTGACGTCGTCCTTGGTCAAACTGTGTATCACTTGCCTCTGGTGTTGGAGCCCAACATCGCTGGCTAGTAGAGCTTTGGACATTATCAGCAGCCCTGTATGGCGGAGGCGCAGAAGAGTGGAAAGGCTGGCCAGACTGCGCATTATTGTCGTTAGGAGCAGAATCCGGTACCGTGTCTCGATTTCCCTGGGTTGAGTGTCTCCTGGCTGCTGAAAGCGTTAGATGGGATGGAAGAAGAAGACATAACAGAGAGATACTAACCAGCTTTGCCGCCCATGATGTTGCTCAGGAGAGCAATATTGTCGATACCAACAGACTTCTTTCGCGACAATCCGACCTTCTCGCCTTGCACTTGGTCTGGCACTGGAACTGGAGCCTGGAGAGCGATCTGCCGCAGAAAGGATATCTCATTCAGCACCGCGCGATGGTGGCCACTGACCACAGGGATCTGTGTGTAGAAATCTGTAGAGTCAAGGAAAATCCACCGCGACCGGCGCTTGAAGGGTATCCTGCCCTGGTTTGCCTCTGGCCTGCACTTCTCTACAATCTTGCATACTTCGGCGAGCCCTTGGTGTGCGGCCCTGATGATGGTGTTAACGCGATCAAGCTCTATGGGTTTTCGCTCCAGGATATCCAGATATTCCTCGCGCAACCCGACAAGGTGCTGAAGGTCTCGCTCGCAGGTGCGGACCAGCTCAAGGCTCCGGCGCACTTCGTCATTGACTTGGCCACTCTCGATGGCGAGGGTGATCAGTTGATATGTCACGCGAAGAGCTCCAGCTACGGCTCCCACAGCTGGAAGAATCTCTGCCATAGCAGCAGGCGTGTGTACTTCGGGGAATAGTGTTGAGGTTGTCAAGAGTTTTGTAGGCTGCGTACGATTGATACGTCAGTGTCGTTTTCCGGAAGAAGATCTCCGTGTCTGATGGGATACTGTACCGGGATCATGCCAAGAGGAACGAGGGTGACATACCCATTTGCGGGACGCAACGTATTCTCAGGGCCCTGCAAGTTGCCGCCACTCTATTGACTTCCGCTTCGCTACGGAGCTCATCGAGCGACTTTCATGACGATCGGGCGATATGCGGTTCAGCTCGACGACGAGGCGGCGCCATGTGGCTGTATATCGGTCATAAAGACAAGGCTGCCAGTTAGGCACCTTGTGGCGTACGGGATGCAACGTATTCTCAGGGCCCTGCAAGTTGCCGCTACTCTATTGACTTCCGCTTCCCTACGGAGCTCATCGAGTGACTTTCATGACGATCGGGCGATATGCGGTTCAGCTCGACGACGAGGCGGCGCCATGTGGCTGTATATTGGTCACAAAGACAAGGCTGCCCGTTAGGCACCTTGTGGCGTACTAGGGCCGTTCAGCCGCAGTGGATCAATTAAAAGGAGTCTGTGAATGAAATGCTGGTGAAATACCGATAATTAAAAACTGTGAATATAAAGAATATGGCTTCAACTCTACTAGGCACTACACAGTTGCCAGACGTGGCTCCACAACCAGCTGGGGTGACGAGAGTCGACGCCCATCCCGATGGCTCAGCTTCTGCAAGCCGATGCAGAGAACGACAGCCCTTGGTGTACTTATGTCTTTGTAAATGAACCGCCAGTCGCTAGTGTGAGAAAGCAATGCATAGCCGAGTTTAGCTGCCTCAACGATGATGGAATGCATGTGGTGGCGCTGTTTCTGCAAGTTATCTTGATCAGGCGTAACGAAACAGTGGAGAAATGGATCCAGTTCCTTAACAAGCTCCTCTGCCTGATGTCTCACTGCACGCTCAGACACCTCGAGGGGCGTTCTCTCGCTGGGGTTGGGGTGAAGCAGCAGGGCGGACAGGGTACGCCACTTTGTCAAGACGACTGACATAACTAGGAGGAGGAAGAGAGGTTAGCCGTCTGGTTCAGAAGGGCGCAAAAAGACGCCATTATGATCTTACCATTAAAGTCTTCTCGGGACTTATCGATTGAGCGAATAGACCGGAGGAAATTGATTGCAGGTCCTGGTAGCAATGATATGCCGTTCCGAGAGTTGCAGTCAATGCTGTTGAAAAGAACATGCGAGACAACATGCTGAAGGGCCAATCGACGAGAAGCAGGATGCAGACACCACTTAGCGACAGCCTCAGCTTCGAAACCCGAGGAATCCTGGCTGATGCCCAGATTCGTGAGTTGCTCAGCCAGAACTGATACACCGATATCTATCGGTTTAATGTGGTAATAGTTCTCGATGTGCTGCTCCATGATAACTTCTAGCCGCTGCAGCAAGCCAACAACCTCTCTGTCAGGTGTTGCTTGCAAGATGAAATTTTCCACCTTGATTTTATTGTCTGACGACTCCATACTCCCTGGGCTGTCAGTATCTGGGTTCTTAGGGGCGCGGACGACACGGATTGCCCTGCGATGCCTCGGACGGCTCTTAGTAAAGCGCTGAAGGAGCCATGCGAAGCAAATACCAACAAATATACCAGCAAAGAGGCACCCAATGGCTATTCCAGCAACAGCACCGGGCTCAATTCGGTTATTTGCGTTATTTCCCGTTTCCTGAGGACTGGTTTGGCCGGCACTAGCATCTGTTCCACTGACAGTTGTAGACGCGGAGGTAGGGCTCGAATCTGTTGTAGTCACGGAAATTGAGGTAGGTTTTGGTTCCTCGGGAACCGAAGGAATGTGGGGAGAACCCACGTTTGTGGTAGTCCCGTAAGAGGTGGAGGAAGCAGGTTTGGCTGACATTATGACAAGAGCATTGTTCAAGTATAGGGCAAGTGAGAAGAACATCGATGTGAGCAAATACCAAGGGTCTTATAGAACGACAAGGGAGCACGCCGTCGGTGCGGCGTGACGAAACCCCCCGGTTGTTCTTGACGTACTCTGTAAACTCTGCATCTCAGTCGTGCGAATGCATCAACTGAGAACAGAATACCATAAGCACTAGTACCAAGCCTGTTGCCGTGGCTATGGCCTTGTCTGAGTGACCGCCGCCGCCTCGAGACGGTCTAGGCCTTTTGCAAGCCACGTTTGGTGGAAAGAGGCGTTTCATCCAATAAGTACTTTTCCGAGGACCCTAATAAACAATCATTTTTAGATTTACCCATGCATTTCCCGTCTAGTTCCAGCTGACAAGCAAGTTTAAACGTTTATAAGATTGCGCCTCATATTTCAATTACTCCTCACCTTCGCTCACCAAGTTTCATTCATTTCCAATACATTCTGGCATTGCGTTACGCTAACTTGTCCCACAATCTTTACACCACCTCAACCACCAAACTGCAAGGCAGAGCGCCGTTCCTGTGTTCCCAGGATGACTAAAAGGCCAGATGCCACAGTAGCCATCGATCTTGGCACGACCTTCACAGGTGAGATGACAAATTCTTTATACGTTATAGATATATTCCAGGTAGCTGACCAGTTGGTAGGTGTTGGTTTGCTATATTCCACTGGCACCATCGACATATTGGATAACTGGCCGGGAAATAACCAGCAAAGCGAACGAAAAGTTCCAACCCGTCTGGTCTATAACCAAGACAATACTATTTCCTCATGGGGGTTCCAATGCGATATTATTGATTCTCAGCTCTCATATGGGAAGACGGAACGTCGACTTTTCAAGGTTTTTCTTGATCAAGCCACCCACGACGATGCAAAGCAAGGAGGCTTGACTTATGTTCCGCGGAGCACTCAAGACGTCGCGAGGTGCATTACCGACTACCTTCGAGAGATCTACCGTCATGTGAAGAGCACGTATGAACGAAGCACTGGAGTAGGAAACTGGGCCAGCTCGACCGTTATCTTTCTCTTTAGTGTACCTACAACTTGGAAAGGTATGGAAGTCATCAACACATTCAGATCAATCATCCGTGACGCTGGATTCGGTACTGAAGGCCCTGGGCACTCTGCACAGATCGATCTGACCGAAGCCGAGGCTGCGGCTGTTGACACTTTGAAGAGCGGCGTGGTTGAGTTCGGAACTGGGGACATATTCCTGACTGTTGATGCTGGCGGCGGCACGACAGACCTTTCCCTAGTGCGTGTCACTTCTGTCGAAAACGATATTGTACAGATATCTCAGATCGCCGAGGTCAGCGGCATCGGTACAGGGTCAACTCTCATTGACTCTGCTTTCGCGAATCTGGTCGAGCACCGATTGTCTTCTAACCCGGGCGTGCTAGATGGTTATCCAGATCTCCCTGGTACCTTGATGATGAGTGAGCGTTTCAAGATTGTCAAGCACCATTTTGGTGAGACCTCATTTTCTTCCCCAGTTTATAAGATCCCAGTACCTGGCCTACCATATGATTTTAGCCATGGGGGCCTTCGAATTGAAGAAGGACGCATGATCTTCGATAGGTTTGTTCCAACAGACAATTCAGTTACATCATACGATGAGTTAACTCAAACATAGTGGTGAAATCAAAGCCCTTTTCGATCCTCATGTCGAAAGCATCATACACAAAATCAAGGAACAATTAGACTGGATGGCAGAGAACAAGCCTACTGAGCAAGTGGTAGGGTTCCCTGTCGCCAACACTCTTTTCTCCCGTTGATACAAATCATAGACACGCATGATTCTCTCTGGAGGACTAGGCAGCTCTGAATATGTGCAAGAGCGCATTCGGGAACACCTCCACCGGTTCAATCATCCCAGCGCTCGCAATTGCTCTGTCATTCCTAGTCGATTCCCTCAAACTACTGTTGTAAGAGGCCTCCTCCAAGATCACAAGCAGCGGATAGAAACAGGAAATAAACCAGTTTTGGCTTCATACATCGCTCGAGCAAGCTACGGTGTCGTGGTCCGGGAGATATACAACCCAGAGCGTCACTTTAATGAGGAGATTGTGCAGGATGACCATGACCCTGGCCAAAGATGGGCCGTCAACCAGATCCAGTGGATTATTCGCAAGGTATGCGTTCGAGATATTCCGCCTACAGCCTTTCCAATTATACTTACTTAGGATATAGGGGGACTCGGTGGACCCGAATGAACCGTTGGTGAAGCAGTTTGTTATCCGATTAAAGCCAGGCCAGACAAGTAGGTCTTGGAACTCCCAGATTGTCATTTCGCGGAGCGAGGTTGATGTCCTCCCCCGAAGTCTGCGGCAAGGTATGTGCTTGTGACTCCTCCCAGGATGGCAAATAAACTATGCCTTAAGCCTCTGAATTAGAAATCCGGCTAACTAAGTCTTCTCCCCTTCTGATCAACAGCGGGTGTCAAGAAACTGTGCAACGTGAAAAGCAACCTCACAGGCGTCCAAGAACATGAGCTTGAGCTAAAAAAGAAGCGTGGCTTCTTTTGTTTTAGTGAAGGATACAAGTATTATAACTGCAAGTTTAACATCCATGTAATTGTAGCTCCGGCTGATATACGCTTTGAGTTATGGTTCCGGGGCCAAAGGTTCTCTAGAAATCATGACCCTATTAAAGTTGAGTGGAAGTAGGGAGGACAGAGGTTACAGGTTAAAGAGATAACAGCCTAGGCAGGACTATACTATAGAAACCTATATATATATCATTCATCAAGTTTCTTTATGTTTATTACAGTATTATGTCTATAGGCCTAGGTGTAAAGATACAAATACTGAGAAGGTATTAATTAAGATGTTTCAGCGCTGCGATACGCTCCATCATGAAGAACGCCCATGGCACTTACTTGAACCTATTGGATGGCCTTAGCCTCGAGAAGGTGTGGACATGGAATCAGCAAGTCCCGCAACCCATCGAGGCTTGCGTACATCACTTGATTGAGGAGCAGACGCTGAGTGCCTCGGATGACTATGCAGTTAAATCATGGGACGGGAAGATGAGCTATTCAGACCTAGATCGCCATTCAAATGATCTCGCATGCTACTCGGCATCTTTGGGAGTCGGACCTGGTAGCATGGTGCCTGTGTGTTTCGACAAGTCTCTTTGGGTTGTCATGACTATGCTGGGTGTCCTCAAAGCAGGAGCCGCATTTGTTCCAATTGACCTCACACAGGCCCCCGAACGACGAGAGATGGTCTTGAAACGGGTCAACACGAGTATTATCCTAACATCGGAAGAGTTGAAGACCATCTTACCCGCAACCCAGATCGCTACGTCGTGGCAGTACACTCTGCTCTCACGCAGCATCTCGAGTCGGAGTATCAAGGTAAGAAATTAACTAGAGTACAGGGTGATGTTTTATCAATCATGTATTGTCTCTTCACGCCTGAATCCAGAGGCATCCCGAAAGGTGTCACTCTTCAGCATCGCGCTGTCAGCACGAGTTGCAAATATCACGGCCGGCGCATTTGCTTCAGCAAAAACACGCGAACTCTGCAGTTCTCTTCGTACACCTTTGACGCTTGTATATTTGACATTCTCATTACCTTGATCTTTGGTGGCTCTATCTGCATTTCTTCGCCAACTCAACGCCTAGATGATGTCGCCGGATCAATCCATGAAATGAAGGTTAACACGGCTCTCTTAACCCCAACGGTCGCGCGGCTAGTCAACCCATCTGAAGTCTCCTCTTTAAGGACTATGGCTCTTGGCGGTGAAGCTGCTTCCCCTGCCGACTTCGCGAGATGGCATCACCTTGATGTTGTTATGAACGCATATGGCCCTACTGAATGCGCCGTCACTTGCGTGATGAATGATGAACTCCTTAACGCGGCCCAAAGGGATTGCATTGGTATTCCTTCTGGTACTACATGCTGGATCATTGATCCACAAAATGAGACCAAACTTGCCCCAATTGGTGCCATTGGCGAACTCGTCGTTGAAGGAGCTCAGTTGGCACAAGGTTACTTGCATGATGAGGTTCGCACAGCCGAATCTTTCATAGATAATCCTTCCTGGCTACTACATGGCTCTAGGTCGTCTAGTGAGCTTAGTCCGGCTGCAGATATTCCTGAACGACGAGGAACACTTTACAAAACAGGTGACTTGGTCAGATATGTCAGCGACAAGGGTCACTTGGCCTATGTGGGCAGGAAGGATGCCCAAGTGAAGCTTCACGGTCAACGTATGGAACTAGCTGAGACGGAGAGTCATATCATGGCGTGTGTTCGCGAGGCCATTCAAGTCTCGGCTCTTGTTGCAAAGCCTGGGGGACAATCAGCTGGTTTGGCTCTCGTGGTATTTCTAGTGCTCAAGATGCCAGTCTCTTGACCGTTTCTGAGCTTCAACCCGACGCCAATTCATCGCCAGATAAGGGAAATGCTCGAGTCTATTTAATACCTCCGTCAGTTGAAGATGAACTGGCGAAGAAATTGCTAACTTACATAATACCTACCATCTGGCTTACCATCGATCAGTTGCCTATGACAAGCTCTGGCAAAACGGATCGCAAGGCGTTTCAGCAGATAGTCTCTTTTTTCACCGTCTCCGAGCTTGCTGCTCCTAAAAGAGTTCGGTCAAGCCGCACAGTGATAGCCGAGGCAGGGAGACGAATGAAACAACTTTGGGCCAGGGTGCTTGGCCTCGATGAGTCCAGCATTAGCCCTGATGACAGCTTCTTCCGCCTTGGGGGTAATTCCATTGCTGCCATGGAGCTAGTGAGTCAGGCCAGAAAGGACGGGATGACACTCTCTTTGCACAAATTTTCCAACAGCCAAAGCTAGACCAGTTATCGGCACACCTAAGCATGGACTCTAAGGCTGCTGAGGTACCTACCGAGGTTGAAGCCTTCTCTCAGCTGGGTGGCGATGTTAATATCACAGACTGCAAAGACAGGGTCGCTCATCTCTGTGGCGTGCATGCGCTGGATATTCAAGATATATATCCTTGCACTCCACTCCAAGCTGGGTTGATAGCTCTGACGTCGAAGCAATCAGGGAGCTATGTTCTGTGGAGCATTATGAAGCTGGAAGCAAGTATTAATCTGCAGCGATTCAAAGAGGCATGGGAAAAGTCAGTCCAATGCTGCTCAATTCTACGAACAAGAATTGTTCAATACGACGGCATTGGTCTGGTTCAGGTGGTTTTGACAGACACCCCGGGTTGACTGGCAGCACTTAAGCAATCTTGAACTATTCATTGAGCAGGATAAGCACGCTTCAATAGGTCCGGGAGAGCCACTCACCCGCTTCTCAATTATTAAGGATAACTCGTCAGCCATGTTTGGTTGGTCTATCCATCACGCCCTGTACGATAGAACCTCAGTACCACTCATCCTGTCACTTTTGAAGCAGTTTTATCGCCGCATGAGCCTACAAAAAGCACCAGATTTCAGCCTTTTTCTTAAATATACCTTGGAGCAGAATGCGGAGAATACTGATTCATTCTAGAAGGCCGCTTTCGACTAAGTCGAAGCCTAACAATTCCCATCGCTACCCAGTCCTACTCATATTATTAAGGATAATTCTACTCTGCAAAAGGCTTTTTCTTTTGCACCAGCTCTAGGAGATCTGGATGCTATCATGTCCACGGTTGTTAGAGCCGCGTAGGCCTTGCTAGTTAATCGTATCATAGGGATAGAAGATGTAATCTTTGGAACCACGTTATCTGACCGCAATGCACCTGTTGCTGGTATCGAGAAAATCATCGGTCCCACCATCGCCACGATCCCCATCTCGGCTCGCGTCATGTCAGATTCGACAGTTTCGGAATTCCTTGGTCAGGTATAACATCATGCCACTACTATGATCCCGTATGAACAGACTGGTCTACTTCATAAAAGCTGCGTTGTTAGCGGGTGGATAACGTTCCATCAGATATGCTTACTTTGCGCCCCAGGCACAGATGCTAAGAAGCACATGAGATTTGACCGTTTGGTTCACAAGCGCTTGCAAGAACGTGGATTTATGAAAGAGGAGATCAGACTGGTACACATTCTCGAAGTATAGCTCTACCAGTTCGTTGACCAGGGATGGTGCGATCCCATGATAGAAGTTTTGGTTTGATGCATCTGGGGTGGACTGTGTAGGAGCTAGCGGGATCAATGGCCCTGAGTGAAATGAAGCCGAAGGCTTAATTATAGTCTTAGACTTTGCTATTCGCCGGGGTGCTCGAATCTGGGATCGACTGTTATCATAGCGACATGTATTTTTCAGTCTGACGCATCTTCCGCAGCTAGGCCTCTCGCCCGGGCAACGGATCTTCAAGTCCAGAATCAGCTAAAGTCACTTGTGTCTTTCAAGGAACGGACTGCAGCCCACCTTTTGCCTTTTACAGATATCGCAAGCCTTGCTGGGACGCCCAGGGGCGTTCGTCATGACAATCTGGTGTAGTTAATACCGTACTACGTACTAAGTAAGCAGAGGTGACCATGCAGCCAAGTGAGGTGACGTCATGGCAAGGATTCGCAAAGGAAAAATGTATTTCCCGAGCCTCATTACAGTGATAGCAGTATCCGTAAGCTGCACGAGGTCCTGATTACACCGCCAATTCCACGGAGTGAAACATATATGCAGCCACATAGCATTGACTGGGATTATTCAGCATTTTTAGTGGTTGAAATCGCACTGAGTGCGAAATTCATGGATGCGATTTTGAAGAAGGGAAAATTTTTCCATTGCGATGGCCTGCATCGCTCAGAATTGAAGGGATGCAGTTGGCAAAGTGTAAAATGTGTTGCGTCAGAAAAATCGCACCATGCGTTGTGAGCGACTCGGAAACGCACACAAGGCGATTATCATGTCGCACCCCTGGTATGGTGGCCTTAGAAGCTCTATAATTCCCCGACGCGGGAACGCCCGGTTGGGTAGGCAGGAAATGTTTATCTCCATCGTTTTTGCTGTTTTACTCGGTTCTGTATGTCTACCTCTTTCAAACTACCTCATGCAACTACTCAAAATGGACGACCTCACCGGGTTGCAGCTTATAGCCCAAGGAACTTCGTGGACTGACCGAGCACTAGACATCATTACTATACACGGATTGCAGGGCTACGATACCTGGGAGCATCCTACACACGGACTCGGGGACAGCAGTAAGACTGTTTTCTGGGTACGGGACTTCTTACCCAAGGATCTCCCTTCAGCGAGGATCTTCACCTACCACTATCTCTCTACTGCCTTTTGCGACGGTCAGGGCATCACTCAAGCCGCGGATAAACTTCTCAACAAGCTAAAGAATCTACAGGCAGATAATATCGAGGTGCGTCTCACATCGCATTATGGAGCAGATCCATTCCCGTCTCTTCCAGTTCCGCAGTATCGAAAATCGGAAAGGTTTGTAAATGGACTAACATTCCGTTATCAGGGATCTCGGCCATTAGTCTTTATTTGCCATAGTGTTGGTGGTCTAATTCTCCAATGCGCCCTCAATAAAGCATTTGATAACAAAAGCGATACGGCACTCAACGAGATTATCACAGCAACACAGGGAATCATCTTCTTGGGGACGCCGCATCCAACTTCAGAACTAGATATAAGCGTCTCAAGAATCGCCGCAGCCAGTGAGACAACTAGGTCCATTATGGTAGACACTCAATTTATGGCACAGGTACTTGTCAGGTTCGCGAGCTTATCTCAGTATAATCCGCCGTGGAAAGTCGTTCATTGCTACGAAGAGTTGCCACTACCAGGTACTGCTTTTCGGGTGAGTTAGTCCTTTGTATTGACTATTGGAAACAAACACAAATAACTGAATCTTTGGCGAATAGGCGGTCAACCCAAGCCAGGAAGAATCGTGGGCTTTGCCCCAATTATCGCTGTATAGTCATCATCTTGTAAGCAGTGTGAATCTATTTTTCTTTCTTTACCTCTATCTAATAAATTGACAGGATTTGTGTCGTTTCAGAAGCCAGGACGATGTCTCCTACATCAAAGTTCTGCAATCATTGAGAAACATCACTTCTGGGCTCGGCAGCTCTGTCGTAGATGAAATCGAAGTACAGACAACTCTGTCATCCGTCGAGCATGGTAAAAACCCTCTCGTCACTATTACATAATTCCGTTGACAGGATGTAGAGGTTCTTGAAAGTCTGGAAATTGAAGACACATCGTCCAACATCCGAGACGCCTCTCCAGGAACATGCGACTGGATACTGAAACATAACACTTATAAGTCTTGGTTGGCCAAGCCCTCCCAGCCTCTATGGATCACTGGTAAGGCGGGAACTGGTAAAAGCACCCTGATGAAACATATCATAGAGGCTTGTCGTCTGGAGCACACATCAAGCCAGGCTGTGGTATCCTATTTCTTCTCCGCCGCCGGCGCAAACCACTCTGTGGCGAGCCTTTTAAGTTCGCTCTTGCATCAACTTTTAAAGACGACTCCGAGTACGCGATCCTTCGAAATATTTTCCAAATTTCATCAGAGAAGGGAGCATGAGATCTCCGACAGCGCAAGGGATATTGATATCCTGATGGAAAGCTTGCTTTTGTTGGCCGACAAATCGACGGCACAAGGTGATTCCATTTTCTTCATTATAGACGCTTTGGACGAGTGTGACGATCCCGATAAGCTTGTTACTCTCCTCTGGCGTCTTAATGGTTTCAATCCCAGTCGGAAACTACGGATATGTATATCCTCTCGACCGAGCAACTTTTCCGTGCCAGGCGCGGAAATCCGTTTGGAGGATAATAACTCGCTCGACATACAGCGATATCTTGGCGAAAGCCTTCTAGCCTTGGAAAATTATCTACCCTCGACCTCGGATGTCAAACAGACAACTCAAGCTTTGGCGGAGAAGGCCAAAGGGATGTTTCTTTGGGCTTCGTTGAACATATCACAGCTGCGCTGCAATGGTCACCTCAAGACACCCAAGTCCGAACAGCACTCCACGTCCTGGCTTCCAGCAACCCTCGATGCGGCATACGAGGCGATTATACAGCAGCTATGGAACCGGCATGATGAAAGCCGCCGAGAGATGGCACGGGATGCATTCACCCTCGTACTATGCGCTCAGCGGCCACTTTCGATACTCGAGCTCCGCAGTGCCCTGGCCGCGATGCATTATGATCCTGATCTTCTATCTCCACTAAGCAAGAGTGAAGTAAATGAGTGGGGTATGTGGAACAAAATGAACAAGATACAGGACAAAGCTTCGCTAGACATGAGTACTCAGCTGATGCTTCTATGTGGCGGCCTTCTTGAGGTAGCACCGCGGCAGGCCAAGTTCGCAAACGATACGACGTATCCAGAATCGACCGTGCAATTCATCCACCAAACCGTGAGAGACTATCTCCAGGAAAGGGGGTCCTGCGTCCTTGAGGGCGACAATCGCACTTCCAAATTGTCTTTCCCAGAACTCAAACTCACTGACTTGCAAGCCTGCAATGCCCAGTACCACTTCCGAGTTGCTTGGATATGCCTCCTGTATGTTGACCTCATATACATGCGCTCTAACCTCCTGAATACCGAGACTGCCATCACTTCAGCCCTTTTTCTAGAGTATTCCCTATCGTTTGGCATGGCACACCTTAGCTTAGCCGAAAGAGCCGGGGTAAACCCCATGAAGAAGGAGATGTGCCACCTTTCTCAGTTTCAAAAGGGGTTCGTCGACCAGTGGTCTTTGCTACACAGCCAAATATTCAAGGATCAGAAACTCTTTGAGCCGCACAAGACTAAGGCAGTACATATCATGTCATACTATGGCTTACCGTGGTATGACACAGGCCTCTGGGGAGCGAGGCTTGCAGAGATAAACGAGGAGGATCATTATGGGCGTACTCCTCTCTTACTGGCCGCGGCTATGGGTCATCATCATGTCTGTGAGATCTTGCTTGACAATGGTGCCGACATGGGTCATCGAGATTATGTCTATGGTCAAACTCCATTGAGTCATGCCGCAGCCTATGGCCATAGGGAAGTCGTCGAGCTTCTACTCAGCGAAGGGTCTGACTACGACGACAGCAGCAGTGGAGTTACTCCTCTGTGGTTAGCAATTCGCAGTGGTCATCTAGACATCGCGGAGCTTCTCTTACAAGCTGGCGCAAATCCTAACGCCTCTAGCATCCATACTGGTGAAGCATGCCTGTCCCATGCTGCCTCTCTTGGACACATCAGAGCCGCCTATCTACTTCTAGACCGAGGCGCCGAAGTCGATACACGAGACAAGAATGGATGGACTCCGCTTCATCACGCCGTCAGCCAAGGCCGAAAGAAGATAATCGAGTTGTTGCTTGGGCTTCTCACGTCACAGGATCTCTTTAAACTCAAGGACAACCTCTCTAAAGACAAGGGCAAGGGCTCTTGGATCAATACCGTCTTGACAGCTATCGTTATTTTGGCATGTTACCAACGTGGTGGCGAGTGGCAGACGCCTCCGGTCGGCAACCAGAACAGCCAGGCGCTGAACACATGCTCTGATGACCGACTGCTTACAAACCGGGGCACCAATCGACAAAAACACAAGTTGGGTGCAGGAAAGGATGAGGATGACAACGAAGAAAATATCAGAGGTAATTCGGAGAAAAGACCTCGTCGCTCAGAGCCAAACGGGGACCGTTTCGCCTGTCCGTATCATAAGAAGAACCGGGCGAGGTTTTCAAGCGGACCCTGCAATGGAAAGGGATTTAAGAATATTGACCGCCTAAAGTAAGTCCATCTCTGAATGTTTCACTGCAGGACCCGAGAAACATTAGCTTGGAAGCTCGTAAGTCGAGAGTCTAACTAACAGGTGTATAGATCGCATCTGAAGCTCATCCATGACCTTTCTATCGATTGGCGGCGATGTCACGTCTGTAAAAAGCGATTCCTCCGCGAAGAGCTGGATGGGCATAGCCCATGTAAAAGAAAAGACCTAGGAGATGATTATGAGGATGGATATGATTTGGACCAGGCTCAAGACCTGAAATCGGACAGAACACGGCCCAGCAAGAACCCTCCTGAAAGTTGCTGGAAAGCAATATTCAGAGTGCTGTTTCCCGACTGGCCCGCGAACCTGGATACCCCAAATCCATGTGAGTCTACAGCTTGTCGCATAAGATTCGAATATTTGAAACCGATTACTAACTTACAGGGCACCCCAGACCAAGTGAATGCTGTCTCGACGTATTGTGCAGATGCCATTCAACAACACCGCAACAGAGTGATGAACCGAAACACAATCTCTCAGCTCTATGCTTGCCAAAGCAAAGATGAGATCCGTCAAGTTCTAGGACTACTCATCGGGGACCTTGAAAGCAATTTTGGGCATACCCCGATAACGACTGACAATTTGCCTCCCAGACCCGTGTCCGCTATGTCTCCGCAGCCAACAATCAGCACTCAGCATCCGCAATATCAGCTTCTGCCAGTTTCTCAGCCGAATTTCATCTATAGTCATGGGCGTCGCTCACAATTCCATACACCAGCTGTTTCAAGCTCCGATGCAAATTCCAGCCGTTTCTTCCGGAGCCATGATCAGTCTGACACGTTCACAGAAGGCACAGCATTCTCGGACCAAATGTCAACAGGGTTTGACTCCTTTGGGTCTCACCAGGGTATAAATAGCAGCAGCACTCTGCCACAGTTTCAACCACAAATGACTTTATCAGTGGCTCAACAACCGACGAGCAACATAAGCCACCAACCCGGATCGAGTTTTGCGGTAGGGAACCAAGGAATGACACCGGATGATCGTTGGATTGACTTCTCGCACGACTCCCAACATCAGGCGCAGCCTGTAAGGGGGGATCTGGTACAAGGCGATCTCCAGCCAGGGGATTATGATGAGAACGAAATCCTGAGCATGGCGCATTTTTAGGCTAGTGAATGCGATAACAGCTTAGCATCGCAGGCTTGGATTGAACGTGTTGAATCCCGGCCAGTTTATGGGAAGGAAAGGCAAGCTGCAGCTTTATCAAGATGACAAAAACCAAAGTGGTGGGGAAGGTCAAATGGTTGACAAGAGCTTGGCTGAGTTCGGATGTTTGAGCAGGGAGGTTTTGGATTATGAGAACGCCAACTGTTACCATTCCTTTAGGTGTCGTCCTATGCCGTAAATTTATTTATTTTCTCTCTTCCTTGACAATATGAAGTTCCTACAAGTCAAATCGTTGCATCAGATCGATTGATTTCTGACCCTTCCACATAGACTCATTCCTCTGGCTTCCGTCCCCAGACAACCCGTTGCTTAAAGTAAGCATGATGCTTGCCCGAGTTAATCTCCCTTCGAGCATGCGCAATGTAAACATGAATCTCTGCCTCCGACCAGCCCATGGTATTAGCCACAAAAAGCACAAGGCCTTCAGTATCCGAGAGGAAAACATGACGACCAAACTCTCCCAGTTCCTTCAACTCCGGGTCCTTGGGCCAGTCACCGAGAGGAGCCTGTCATACCATGTGAGCATTCCAACAACTATTGATGTTAAAATCATTCTCACCTTGTACTCGTATTGCTGAATGTCAATAAATCCTGCTGCCTCCATGGCTTTCCTCTGTAGCTCTTCTTCGTATACACTAAAGCTCATGCCGAATTTCTTGGCACCTTCAATGAATAGCTTGCCCCACTGGCCTAAAGCAGAAGTCTCCTTTACGGTATCGTCATCGCTGGTGATAATAGCTGATGGTTCAAAGCTTTCGACCCAACCACCTGGCTTGCAGGTCTTGTAGGCCTCTCTGAAGAACTGGTACCAATCATGGATACTTCCGGCCAACCAGCGGAGATGGACGTAATCTGCTGAGTTGGGAGCAAATGTCCATTCTTGAGTACAATCTTCGATTTCACTGAAAGATACGTGTCAGTAGACGAGGGGCAGGTCTCAGTTCTGGTGACTTACAATTTGAGATTGGGAGAAACCCAAGCGGGTTGAATTGGCGATATATCGGTGCCAATAACCTCCACATTGGGGTGTTCATCTGCAAAGTCCCTGGAGCCAAAGTCAGTTAATGTTATTAGGAGTCCAAGTCAAAAACACACAAAGCCCAGATTCCTATAGAAGAGGAAGTTCCAGTTAGTTTTATAATAGCAAAGCGACGTCCCAACAGCACAGCTCACCAGTGCCAGTTCCAATGTCGATTGCTTTCTTGAAGAGAAGTGTTAGCCTCCCAACCAGTCCTCAAAGAGGCAAAAGGTATACTCACTGTAATCTTGTCCTTATCAATCGGAGCAAGATAAAGTTTTCCGCCAAGACCTAGAGTTAGACAATGATGGCTAGCGAGGTGGTTAATCATGTACTAGTCTTTCTTAAACCTTCACCAACGTACTTCATATCCAGTGTTTCACTCTGTCGCTCATCGTTCGAAGCCCTTGTTCAGTAAGCCTCAATCCGGCATAAAACAAAGAGTCACCCTACCAATACTGAGCATTTCCAATTTCGCGATGGTATGTACGTCCATGAAGCTTGCGATACTCAAAGATACTTGAAGTCATTGAGTCTGTAGAGGCCGAGAGGCTTCCGTCGCTGAGTGAGTTTCCATCGTCTTCGTTCAAGTCCTCTTCCTTGGCTAAGGTTAGCATCAACACTGTGTAATGTCCACTAAGCATGAACAAACGCACCTCAGCGAGTTGCTGCCAGTGTGCGGCTGAAAGAACGCCATTATTTCCAACATTCGGCTCGGGAGTTCGAGAGGGACTTTTTGAGGGACTTTTGGCAGGGCTTTTGGTAGGGCTCTTGGAGCTCTTGGGGCTCGTCGTAGTTGCAGGTGGCGTTGACATTATACGAAACAGAAGTCAAAGCGCTTTAGTGGCGGTTTATCTCAAGAAAAGGAATATCGCGCAATTTTTGCAAGAGAGACGAAGAAGTTAAAAGGGCCAGAGACTTGAGAAGCGACGGCCACGTTATGATATGACAATGATGAGATATATCATATATCCCGGCTCCATAGCGGGGGAGAGTTTGGAGTTTGACGAATTGGAATTATGAGAAAAAGCCAGTTCGCATATAATCCTTGACTTTTGGCGAAACGAATGAACCAACCAACAAGATTACGGTTGTTCGTTGTGTTCATGCCAAGGGTTATTTGTTGGTGGGGGGCAGCACATGTCAGATAATACTACCCAGAAAGTTCAATAGCTAACGGTACATACAGTCAAAGAAAAATTGAGGTATAATAGGGCTTGAATCAATTCAATTCGAGCCAATAGCTAATATAAGCGCAATATGAGACTCTGAACTTGGACGATAGATAATGAAGCGGGAATAGGAAAAGCGTGACATCTCAACCCATGTCCAAAGCAAGACAAGGATATTAAGAGACTAACCTAATATGGTATACATTGAGATGTCTAATCAACATCAAAAATAGGAAATAGCTAGGGAGTTAACTGGAGACAAAGGCTTCAATAGACACTAGCAGCCCGCCATTGTGATTACGCCGGCAGTTTTAAGTGGTATATTTGAGTAGTCGCTTCATCTTGACTTATTTCTCCTCCTTCTCTATTCCTCCATTGTCTTTCAACTTTGCAGTCCACAAAAACATGTCTCCCAACGCAATCTCAACTGGTACTGAAGCCAAGCAAGATGACTATCTTGTTGGCTTGGAGCAGTACGGCCTTCAACAACCCTCCGCCCAGCAGAAGATCACGCCCCTTGATATGAACATGCCGAGACTTTATGGAATTCGTTTGGTCCCTGTGCTCCCCATTGACCTCTGGTGCGGATAAATTGCAGATGTATGTTCGATGTCTCAACAAGGCTAAGAGGCAAAATCGACTTACCTCTCTAGATACGAGAATCTGAAGAAGGGATTGGCGCATACCGTCTCGTCTATTCCGTGGATTGCAGGAGTGATCGTGAGTTTTCACACTAAGAGCTTATATTGGCGGCTGTTAATCGAATCGTTATAGGGTCCAGAGGAAGGACAGGATCCCAAGACCCGAAGGGTTCAGATTGTCGACTCACCAAGTGGATTCAAGTTCCCGTAAGCGATGTCTTCTTTATCCTGTCACTCAAGCCTAGCTAATCAAGTCGATTATAGATACAAAGATCTCAGCGACACCTTACCATCGTATGCAGCCTTGAAAGAGAAAAGCTTTCCTCTCTCCGAATTCTCAACCGCGCAACTCGGTCCCATCGACGTCATGCCACAAGGTCCTCACTAACCCGTCTTTGCCGCTCAAGCAAGCTTTGTCGATGGCGGTCTCTTACTCGCAGTGGGAGTCCACCACTCCGCATGCGATGCTGCAGCTTTAGACGCTAAGTCTTTAACTTTAAGTAGTTAAACTTATATAAAACTTAATATATTTCTTTTATTTTCCTTAACCTTATAATTACCTTACTTCTATTTATAATACATATTATATTATAAGATCTTAATTTTCTTTAATAATTTCTTAGCTTATTATTAAATATCTTTAAGTTATTTATAATATAAGCTATTATTAAGGGCCTTAAGGAACTTTCTCTACCTCTTCTTTAGCTATATCTTTTATATAATTTCTCTTTTAAATTTATAAGGCTTTACTTTTTAAAATTAAAAAAAGCTTTATTAATTAAAACGTCTATTATATAACGTGTTTTATAAGCGAGTGACCCATATAAGCGAGTGACCCAAAAATCCCTCAACTTACATTATCATCATTCAATTCAATATCTTTCAACAACCCGATATGCCACAGCCTTCATATGAAGCTAGGATACTTCTTGCCCTTCAGGCCCTTCAAAATGACCCGAAATTAAGTATCCGAAAGGCGGCGACTGTATATCAGGTCAATCACCGCACCTTAGGTCGCCGCCGGAATGGCATTCATTCAAAGCGTGATATAACCACAAAATCACGGAACCTATCTGATCTAGAGGAACAGACGATAGTTCAATTTATCCTTGACCTAGATTCCCGAGGTTTCCCCCCTCGGCGCGATTTTGTGGAAAAAATGGCCAATTCTCTACTTGCCGATCGCGAGGCATTACCAGTCGGCAAGCTCTGGGTTCATAACTTTATCCAACGACAACCAGAGCTAAAGGCATGTCGATTTCGGAGATATGACTATAAGAGAGCTAAATGCGAAGATCCGACTATTATTCAGGGCTGGTTTCGCCTCGTAGAGAATACGATCGCGAAATACGGTATCCAATTAGCTGATATCTGGAACTTTGATGAGACCGGCTTTATGATGGGTATGATTGAGCCCGGAATGGTCGTCACAAGCTCAGAAAGGCGAGGGATACCAAAGAAGATACAGCCTGGAAATCGTGAATGGATTACTGTGATTCAAGCGGTCAATGCAGAAGGTCAATCGATCGCACCATTCATCATTGGTTCAGGCCAATATCATCTTGCCAATTGGTACCGAGAATGCAACCTCCCCGCCGATTGGGTCATTGCATTGAGCGAAAATGGATGGACCAATAACCAGCTAGGTCTTGACTGGCTACAGCACTTTGATCGATCAACAAAGGACCGATCAGTTGGTTCTTATCGTCTCTTAATCCTCGATGGTCATGAAAGCCACCACTCTATCGAATTCGAGAGATATTGTGAGGAGAATAAGATTATTACCCTCTGTATGCCTGCTCATGCCTCTCATCTACTCCAGCCTCTTGATGTAGGGTGCTTTGGGCCGCTGAAAAAGGCCTATGGGCGAGAAATAGAGCGTCTAATGGGATGCTCTATAAACCACATCACCAAGATCGAGTTCTTTCCTGCCTTTCATGCCGCCCACCGAGCTACTATTACAGAAAGTAATATCAAAGGAGGTTTTAGAGGAGCTGGGCTTGCTCCCTTTGACCCAGAAAATGTCATCTCAAAGCTTGATGTGCAATTACGGACCCCGACACCTCCCGCAGAGGTCACGATACCTTCAACCCCTTGGACTGCAAGGACCCCAAAGACACTACTAGAGGCCCAATCGCATTCTAAATATCTACAGGGAAGGGTTAGAAACCATAAGAGCAGCTCCCCAGAGTCAATTATTGAGGCTGTTAAGCATTTTGAGAAGGCAACAAGCGTCCTTATCCATAAGATAGTCCTACTAGAGGATAGGCTTCAACAAGTTGAACAAGAGAATCGGATAGTAAAGCGACGCCGGAGGGGGAAAAGGACTAGACTACAGAAAGGAGGGCCTTTGACTATAGAAGAGGCATCACAAGCAATTGATCAGATGGATGTTGATACGCAGGTAGCAGCCGAATCGTCGAGAAGTGGTGGTCGCGGAAGGTCTAAGGGACCGAGGGTTTTACATTGTAGCAAATGCGGCAGGGCCGGGCATAATACAAGGACCTGTCAGGAGGAAATTGAGGTTAATTTAGAAGAATATAGCGATTAGTTTTAATTGATCTGATAATTTGTGGTATTTTTATTGCCGATTTAATTGAGAAGGTTGAGATTTTTGGGTCACTCGCTTATATGGGTCACTCGCTTATAAAACACGTTAAAAAAAAGTATATAAATAAAAAGGTTATATAATTAAAGATTATTAACTTAATATAAATAATATTATTTTTATTAAATTAAGACTTTTTAATATTTATAATTATTATATAAAATTTATTATTTTTATCTTTTTTACTTTACTTTAAAGCTTTTTTAATTTTACAAATTATATTATAGGCTTTAGTTAAAAAACTTTTTTTTTTTAATTTATAAGTTAGCCTTAAAGGTATATTTAAGTATTTTTAAAATTTAATATAGTTTAAATATTTATTACCTTTATAGCTAATAAAGGTTTATTAAGTTAAATTATTATAATTAGGTACCTTAATTATAGCCTAAACCTAGCTATATATATATTAGCTAAAAAGCCTTATTTGCTTATTAGCTAGCCCTAACCTTCTTCCTTTAACCTACTTTAAAGGCTAGGATATTTAGTTTTTAATATAATAAAGTAAGGTTATAATTATATATCTACTCTTTTATTAACCCTTATAGCATACTATGCTTTAATTATCTATTATATTTCTATAATAAGTTATTTAACCTAACTTCTAGCTATAATTATTAATAGTATTATAGCTACCTTATTATAATACTTATTATCTAAAAAAGCTTATAATTACTTAAGCTTAATAAGCCTTATTTAACTAAAGGCTATAATATAATCCTTAAAATAAAAAAAGCTTTTAAGTAAAATAAAAAAAAATAAAGTAATATATTTTATAAAATAATTATAAATATTAAAAAGGCCTAATTTAATAAAGATAATATTAATTATATTAAAATAATAATTTATTATTATAAACTCCTTTTATTTATATAGTTTATTTATAAAATCTTTTTAATTAATACAAGCTTTTTTAAATTTAAAAAATAAAGACCTAATAATTTAAAGAAAAAGCTATATAAAAGCATATAATTAAATAAAAAGAAAAAGAAGTTTTTTAAAGCTTTTAATACTAATTAAATTTTATATATTTATTTTTTAAATTTAAATTTAAAAATTAGTCTTAAAAGGTATATTTAAGTATTTTTAAAGTTTAATATAATTTAAATATATATTACCCTTATAGCTAATAAAGCTTTATTAAATTAAATTATTATAATTAGCTACCTTACTTATAGCCTAAACCTAGCTATATATATACTAGTTAAAAAGCCCTACTTATTAGCTAGCCTTTACCTTCTTTTTATAACTTACTTAAAAGGATATTATATTTTAATTATCTATTATACTTCTACTTTAAGGTTAGCTAAAGTTTATTTATGAAAAACTATGTTATAAACTTATAAGTAAGTTATCTAACCTAACTTCTAATTATAACTACTAATAGTATTATAGTTATATTATTATAATACCTATTTAAAAAATCCTATAGCTACTTAATAAGGCCTTTTATATTAAAATACCTAACTTAATTTCTTATTTTATAATAGCTTTTAAAGATTATAAATATAAAAATAAGCTTTATATTATAATAATAAAAATTAAAAAAAATTATAAAATACAAAATACTATTTTTATTAAATAAGCTATTTTAAGTTATAAGGTCTTTTTACTTATATATTATTATTATAAAAAGTTAATAATTTTTAAAGGCTATTTTTATAAACAAATTAACTTATTATAAAAACGAAAGTAATTCTTTATAATAAATAGGCTTATAAAAATAAGTAATAATAAATTTATTAATAACTTTAAATTAAAGATTTTAATTAAAAACTTATATAAATAATAGCTTTATAATATAAAGAAATAATTAGTAAAGCTAATAAAAGCTATAAAGATAATTAATAACTAGTAAAAACTAAGCTAATTATAATTTTAAATTATAAGAGTATAACTATATAATATCTAGGATAAAGGTAAGGTAATTATAGTATTTTATAAAAGACATATATTAAGTTTTATATATATTTAATTACTTAAAGTTAAATATATTTAGTATTTATAGTAAAAAGAGAAATAAATATTTTATAAGATAGATTATATAGTTAAATAAGTAAATTAGCTATAATATTAATATATTATTAATATAAACAGGGGCTAAATAACCTTTTTATTTTATTTAAAAATTAAGGATTTTTAAAAATAATTAAAAAGGTATTAAAGAAATCCCCTTATAAGCTTAAATTAATAAAAAGTAAGAAAGTAGTTATTAAAGACTTTAAAAAATAAGGCTTAAAAACCCTAGGTATTTATATTAATCTTTTAAAAGGTAAAAGAATTCTTTTTAAAAAAAAAGCTAAATATTATATAATAAGCTATAATTACTTTTTAAGACCTTATTAAGTAATACTTTTTTCTTCTTTTATAAGGTAATATTTACCTCCTTTTATAATACCTCCTTTAATAGCTTAATTTAAAAGGTCTATTTAACTTATAATAAAGAGCTAATATCTTTATAAAGAAAGCTATTATAACCTTAATAGCTAGGAGCCTAGCTAAGTATCTTAAAAAGCCTAATCCCTATTTCTTATCTCTCCTTATAATGGAAGTAGGTTTAGGGCTTTCTTTATATAAGGAATTAGCCTAAGGTTTATATTTAATAACTAAGAAAATAGTTAAGAAGATCCTAAAGGATATTACTAGCTTTTTTACTTTTTATCTCTTACTATTTACCTTTTAAGCCTAAATCCTTAATTAAAACTAAAGGAAGTTAATTAAAAAGGGTTTTAAAAAGGTAAATAAAGCTAAGTTAGAAACCTTCTTTTAAGACTTCCTTATATTATATAAGTACGCTAGGCTAGAAAATACTAGGTATTTAGGCTATATATAGCTTAGAGTCTTATTTATATATAACCCCTTTTCTTTATAAACTTTAAGATTATTAAACCCCTTAAAAATAGGCATCTCTATCTAATTAAGCCCTTAGACTTACCTTATAGCTTATATAAAGCTATAGCTAGCTATAGGTATAAGGATACTTATAAAGGTATTAATAAAAGGTAAATTATAAGGTAAAATATTATAAATAAGGCCTTTTTAAAAGCTCTTAATAACTAGCCTAACTTAAAGATTAATATTAAATCTATAATATAATAAAGGACTTCTTTAAGAGTTAATTTTATAGTTACTATTAGAAATAATTATTACTTTTATAATATCTAAATTATAGCTATTTTTAGAAGCTTTATAAGAGAAATGTTACGATTCGTGCCCGTAACAGCGCTGTAAGGCTTCTATAAGGCAGCTGTAGCACACCCATAATTGCTTGCATAGCGATTATGGCCCGATCCTTTGCCCTGTGGCTTAACGGCTTGTGCAACCGTTACTAGAAAACCCCTTTAATACCTTAAAAGAAGCTATTAAAAAGAAAAGATAAAATATTAATCTCTTAAAGCCTTTTTCTACCCTTTTATTTTCTTAGCAAGCAGCCTTATAAATTAGGAAACCTTATAGATATATAAGTAACTTTAAAAGCTTTTAGGTCTCTTTATAGCCTTATAACTAGACTTAACTATAGGCCTAGCCTTAATAAAAACTAAAGCTATCTTAGCAGCTTTTATAGCTTAAGATCTACCTAGGAAAACTTATTCTTAAATAGCCTCTTTTTACTTTCTTTATATATCTCTTTATCTTATTATCTTTTTTATTTTATTTTTATTTCTTTCCTTTTACCTCTTTTTTATTTCTCTTTTTATTTATATATAACCTTTCTTTATATGTCCTTATTTATCCCTTCTTTTAAATTAAAACTTATAGTTATTTTTAATTTTTATTTCCTTATATTGTTTTATAAAATCTTTAAAGATATTTAAAAAAAAAACTTTAACTTAAATAGTATTAAAGTAAAATAGTTTTCTATAGCTTAATATAACCTTACCCTAACCCTAACCCTATAAAAGGAACAAAAATACAGTTATAAAGGAGATCGCCATAAACATCCCCCCCATCGTTTTCGCTACGGCCCCTGAGACCACCACAGGAGGCGCATCAGGCGCCACTGGTGTAGAAGCCGGACCTGGCCTGCGGTGAAATGTTGGTTTTGGAGGCTTGGGTTGTCCATTCCCTCCTACCGGTGTGGGCTTTGGTTCAGTCTCAGTCACTACAGCCTGCTCTCCTTGTCCATGACTGCCCCTAGTGCCAGTTGGTCCGCCTTGGTATGTCTGAGGTTGATCAAACTTATGTCCTCCTTCGCCGTCATGTGGTTCGTTGCCAGCGGCAGGCGAAGTGTTTTGTGGCCGGGGCTTTTGCCAAATACGAGGGTCTGACTCATCGGGGCGAGGTTTCTGTCCATACGGGTTGGGCTCATGATGCTGCACTTGGTGAGTTTCGTGAACTGAGTGATCACCTGTCGGCTCTACCACGACTGCGTTCGCTGGAACATCCAAAATGATTGTGTTCTCGCCGTAGTGGCCACAAGCATTGCAGTCAACTTTGATGGTTGTCATCTCCACCGTTTGTAGTTGCTGATACTGGCAGTGACGGCAGGGAGGAGATCTCAAGGTCGTGTAAAACTCGGTGACGGTTAAGTAAGATGGGTTATTGGGGTTAATGACTGTATATGTTATAGTAGTAATTATAGGTGCCACAGCTTTGGTCCTCGTTAAGTTGCCTGCATTGAAGGAGATAGTTGTTGGAAAGGGGGGGATGATAGGCCTTCTGCCTTGTGATTGAATGACAGTAACTGAAGGCTCAACGGTGATGGCAGAGTCAATGAAAGATCGTGTGCTTGAAGATAGAGAAATAGGAATGGTAGGATTACCAGTAGGTAAGAGAGAGTTGTCTGTCTTCACGTCCACAGTGCTGAGAACATCCGAAGTAATTAAAGAACCAGAAATCGCTTCGATCTGTGCATATAAGGTAAGTAGAATGCCTGGCGGAGCTTCCCGACGGCTAAGGCCCCGATGAGACTTGAAGCTAGTTTCGACCACCCCGCCGCAGAAGAAGCCTGGGTCACCAGGGCACAGTATATCGCAACGACCAGTCGCCACCGTATCGGCAGAGTCTAACGTATCCGCTGCATAGCAGGATCTGAATAAGGTAAGTTATATACTTGGATTTCATAGCTAGGAATTTACCTCAAGTAGATACCAATATAAGCGTATCCGGTGCCGATTCTTACACATTCTTCCGTAGTCATGTCTGGTGCTTTACCGATTAATTCAAAGCTAGGGTAGCCAGCTGGAGAACCTAGACAACCAAAGAACCTAAATGTCCCAATCACAGGTAGGTTGGTCGGCATGATAGATGAGGCAGCAACTGTCGATGTTGGTGCAGTTGGCATATCCCCAGCTGTTGAAGTAATGGCTAATAAGAATGTGGAGTTAGATAGGGTGTATACAGAAACGACGAACAGCATATCGGGTTTATGTGTCTACGGCTGTAGGAGACTTACTATTACTACAGCTTGTTCTCTCCGCGGACCCTGGGGAGGAGGGAGTAATTAAGTCAGTCGAGGGCTCAGTCTGTTGGACTGTGGTGTCTTCCGTAGACTCTGTTGTCGTCGTAATGTCAGGGTTGGGAACTGGATCCAATATTAGTACTGAGCTCGTTACAGCTGTTGATGTTATAGATGACTTGTAGCAGGGCCTGTTATGGCAGATAGGGTCGATGATGATCTGTAGTTGTCTGGGCTTATAACATACTTGCAGTATCCTGAGTTGAGATATCACTACTCAAGCTCTCGGTGGATTCATCCGTCGAGGCTGAGACTTCTGAACTAATGATGGGCGTTTTAACATCGCCTGAAGAAGTAGTGGTACCATCAATGGGGGCATCAGAAGTACGGATCGTCTCTGTACCCGTTGTACTCTCAGTGGAAGAATCCAGGGCTGTTGTAGTGATGATATCAGAAGTTGACTCAATCGCAATGATTGAAGACTCTTTCGTCGTATCACTTGTCACAAGAGTTGTTGTGGTGGTATCTGGCAGTTCTTCTGAAGATGTGACCGTACTGCTGGCCTCGGTTAATGTTTCTGTAGGCGTAGTCTCCTGAGCAGTGGCGGTGGGCTCTTCAGTTGTAGTTATAAAGTCTTGCGTAGTATTTGTGGTAGGCTCTGCTGTGGTGGTAGTGGTCTCGTCTGCTGTTACTCCGATCCTGATTGTTCCAGACACAGTTCCTGAAGCCTTGGTCGTAGAGGTAAAAGGCGCCTCACCCGATGGTAATGTAGTCGTAGTCGTCACATAAGCGAAGCGGACATCAGTATCACAATCAATACAACCCTCAGCGTTGATCAGAAGCGCCGAGTCCCACTCTGAATCTCCTTGATCACAAATGGCAATGACCATGGTCTGAGCACCAGAGGTGAGGATATCAATCCAGAGAGGTGGCGATGAGCCGGGATATGAGGTCACGCTGTCAGGCGGTGTGATGCCAATAGGCTGCGCAAGATAAGGACTGACCGCAGTTATTCGATTCCCATTGGGATCGAAGGCATATTGCGTGCCGCCAACAAAGATGCCGATGGGGTCAGCAGAGCCGCTGGACATTGTCAGTTGACTGGTTGCTTCTGGTTCACTTGAGAGTGCGACTTACCCTTCTTCTTCCGACGCAAGTATAAGCTCAACTCTGACACCGCTGTAGGTTGGATTGAGGAAGAAGTCGACAGTTAATATCGCTGCATTGAAAGTGTTTGTACCGCAATAAGTCTCCGAACCAGGTACTCCGTTGTTGACATAGTGGTCACCGTTGGGTAGAGCTCCAATAGCAGCGCCAGAGGTGAGTATCCCACCGCTTCCGATACCAAAAGGTCCATCGGCAAACGTTCCAGAACTTATTGATGCGCCTGAGAATGAGGCCTGGAGAATGGTTATGCCTTGACCGAATATCGCAGAGGCCAGAGCGTTTGCATCATTAGTTGTTACGACGCTGAATGCCTGGGAGGCCGGCAGCAGTACCGCAGAGGCAACAAGCTGGAGGCTGGATAGCTGCAACCTCATTATGAATAATGTAATTCACATTGATAAAACAACTGTAATCCCGGCCTTCGTTTATTTGCCAGCTGAGAAACTCAGCAACAGAGGTGCCAAGACAGGTTTATCTATACCCTCTATCTATTGAACTTGTCTTAAAGGTCGACACAAGGGAGAGTCCAATATGCGATTAAACAAGTGGCTAAAACATCATTCCCCTATTGCGGCGATTATGCTCACATTCATTTTCATTCAACAAACCTCGATATCGGTCTCAACTAGCCTGTAGCTAGTGCCGGTGCAGGTTATGGTTCTTATTCCTTCTCGGGTATTCTTATTTGCTCAGACGTTTGCTCTGCAGGCTTGTCCTGGCTAAGCTTCCGTCTATGGACGATTATAGAAAGCCTAGTTCAGATAACGTTATGACCGTAGCTCTCCCATGGTGTCATGCCTTACCTTGACATTCAATCCGCATCGCAAACAACTACTACCCCTGAAACCACCATTATTCCGAACGCCGCTCTAGGCCTGCCAAAGTCATCAGTAACTCCGAACATAGTCAGAAAATATCACACGACTGGAATAAGAACTTGACTCGCATACTCACCCAAAAAAAAAAGGTCTTTGGAAAGCCTAGCCGTTCAACTTGTGATCCTCCCTGAAACTGTGCGGACCGCTGGACAAGCCAGGAGAATGACATTTAATTAATATGAAACATCCCACTATGTACAATTCGTGGCTGGGTTGACCTCATTATAGCGGCGAGATGCACATGACAGCTATTGCCATAGGAACCATTGTTCGCCTTGGAGCTGCTGTCTACTGTTATATTACGCTGAGCGACCTTCACCTAAGGATAACAGACATGTCGTCAGGCCTGCATAATTGCGCTGTTCCTCATTTCACAGTCAAGGGAGATTTTCTGTATCCACTAATTCAGCTCATTACAACAGTACAAACAGGTATGCAAATGTCTTACATTAATATAACAATAGACTCAAGCCACTAAATTTTATACAATCGACGACTGCCGCTCCTGGCGTGAATCTGCATTCAAAAGCACAAACGTTTCAGGTGGTCATGAAAGGGCAGGGACAACACGATCAGGGATATCAACAACCAAGACAGTTCGTGCCCGCTCCTAGTCTCTTGTCGGTGGCGCCGGAGTCTCCCTCAGCCTCGGTCGGACGCGCCAAGCATCGGGCCCGGAAGACACGGGGTTCATCTGCAGTACTCGGCCACCGAAGATCGAGACCAAACCATGGGCACTTATGATGTCCACATGGCGCTTCCAGGGTCATTGGAGAACCCAGCCGCAGGGAGGCTCGTCAGGCTACTTACCCAAGCAGGGTGTTAGTCGAGCTATTGTCCCGCACCGCTGCGGTCTGCCAAGAAATGCGGCGGCTCAGACAGAAGACGGTGAAACGAGCGGCCACCTACAAAGGCTTCGGCGTCCACTAGAACCACGCATGCCTCTGGCCCTTCGACCTCAATTACCCTCTATTCGATTGCTTTTCCCCGACATGTTCGCAAACCAGAGCCATCGACGGCACATCGAAGCTTGCATGGCACCCGCGGAAACGATTTTGGTGTTGTGCAACTGCGAGAGTAAAAAGATGGCAAAATCTGTGCAGCCGACAACATCACTATAGGAAATCCACAATATTACATCTTGGCATCAGCTTCTAGCAAATATCGTCTGAGCCCGTATAACTACTACCGATGACGAATCAGAGTAGCTTGATAATCGACCCGGAAGCACAAGTTGCTGATGCGAAAATGACTCAAAGGACTTGTCTGATTGGCAGAGATGTATACACCCCCAGTTTTTAGAGTTTCGCGTGACAGCTAATCCAGAGCTTCTAGTTGGACGACCTGCATGTTCTGTACCGAGCTGCCTCATTAGCTCAATTGTGCATGGAATATTTCTTCACCTCGCATTAGAAGTGCTGACGTGTTCCCACATTATCGCGGGGAAACCTCCGATAGGCTTCAACGGCATATGCTGTTGTGCTAAGTGCATAATTCGCTCAATCAAGGGTCCTCGAGCGGGGCCTCGTGAATATATGATCTACAGACCCCTCATTTGTCAATAGCACAAGAGCTTCGAGGTCTCTCTTTGTTCGTTGAACGTATTACAGTAACGAAATTACTTACTATGACCGATAACTCTCCGCAAGACCTCGCGGCGACGGCTACCACTCAGCCAGAGGGCCACTTGGAAGTTGATGTGAGTTGTTGATGCTTCGCTACGACCATGATGCCTTTTTGCATGCTAACCAGTTTCTCAGGATAACTTGGATGCCAATGATTCGGTTTATCATTCGACGTTAGTCAGCTGCCCTTGATTATTTGTTTCTGGCTTAATGACACGGATGGCAGGATCGGAGGTTCGAGCTTTTTGTCGTCCCTGAATTCAAGCATATACAATTATAGGTGAGATATACGCGTAAGAATGACTATTAATGAGCTGACTGACTCATTTTGTCATGTTTCACAGATACGAAGTGAGTTATACTGAATATACCCCGGTGCATTATTAACATCACATAGAATGGACGTCGATATCATGCATTCCGAGAAGGCACTTATCCCGTGGTATGTATCAGAGCACCACTTCTTGACACCTTTACTCAGTCATATCTTAGCCCAACGATGAAGATGAGCAAGATCGTATGGACCTCGTTCATCACATATACAGTATCCTTCTTGACGGAAAGCTCCACCTTGCCCCAATTGACGAGAATCCTCAACGTGTACTCGACCTCGGCACAGGGACTGGTATCTGGGCGATAGATTTCGCAGAGTGAGTGAAAACATGAGCCTCAGGGTATTAGCCCGCTAACATGCTTGGCGATAGCGAGCATCCCTCGGCAGAGGTTATAGGAAACGATCTCAGTCCCATCCAACCAGAATGGTAAGAAATAACCTGCCATGTTGCGTATCATTGTGCTAACAACTTAGGAACCCACCAAACTGCACCTTTGAAGTAGATGACTACGAGGACGAGTGGCTATACCGCACAGAATTTGACTTTGTCCACATGCGCGAGTTGGAAGCATGTGTAGGTGACGAGGATCTTCTGCTACAGCGAGCTTTCCGGCATATATGTTCAAACGGCTATGTCGAATTACAGGGCGTAGACGCGCGCTTTGAGTCCGATGATGGAACGCTCGATAAGGGGCCTAATGCCAAATTGTGGATGAAGCACCTAATCGAGGCTTGTGCCAAGTTTGGCAAGCCTGTTGACTGTGCGGATAAATGGAAGGATAGGTTGATTAAGGCAGGGTTTGTGGATGTTCAGCAAGAAGTCCGAAAGGTATGTAACTTCTCAGTTGGGTTTTGTCCTGTTTTACTGAGTATTGAATATAGTTGCCTATCGGACCTTGGCCGAAGGACCCAAAGCTTAAGGAACTTGGTCGGTATCAGGCTATCCAAGAATCAAAGGTCATCGACTCATACACGCCCAAACTGTTTGAGTACGCGCTTGGTTGGAGTGCAGACGAGATTCAGGTGTTGATGGCACAGGTTAAGAACGAGCTAAGAGACCCGGCTATTCACCTGTATCTCCCTGTCTATTTTGTTTGGGGTAGGAAACCTTAGTTGAGCCAACTGCAGGAGAAGTTGTGAGCTATAGCCAAGCGAGAGAAAATGAGCTGTTCCGTATCATGTTGCAAAGTTCTGACGTCAAGGATTTTTCCCCATGTACAAATTGCGAGCACTTATTCATGATCTGTTTTGTTTCCCGGTCCCTTGGCGAGCCTACCGCATCAGAACGTATTTCTTGCCGCTCTTTACAATGCACTAGGCTTGGATGTGGATGTCGCACTTTTTGATACAGTCATCTCGTTTCAGAGGCCGAACACACAAGCCGCAGAAAGCAGTGCAAACGATGTTGATTTCACAATTGAAGGTGGTGTTGACCCCTCAAGAGGTAAGTTTTATATGCCTACTATGTTGATAATATGAGTCATGAGAGTATTGATGGGCTATCTCACAGTATGCAATCTCCATTCGAGCAGTCGATGATGGCACAGAGTTGCTCGTCCTTATGGACTATCGCGTCGCCCTCATCTCAACACAAGCCCATCGGCTGGCTCACTGTTTCAGCGCCGCCATTGCGTCCATCGTGAAACCGGGAAGCGCAGGTAACTGACTGATCGAGGACGTGGAACCTCTCGATGACCTGACTTGGAATCAACTTTGGGAGTGGAATCATCATCTCCCGCCTCGCGTGGAGAAATGTGTTCATGAGATGATTGCAGAGCAATTCAAGATACAGCCTACAAGACCTGCTGTCTTCTCATGGGATGGTGAAATGACCTATGCTGAACTCATGTCGTCAGTACGCGCCTGGCATGGCACTTGGCCGACCTGGGCGTCAAAACTGTACTGAACTGGTGATATGGTTCGATATAGCAAGAATGTCGGACTTGTCTATATTGAGCGTGCAGATACGCAGGTCAAGGTCCGTGGACAGAGAGTCGAATTAAAAGAAGTTGAGGTTCGGGTTTCTGCAACACTCCCCCACATGCAGCAAATCATTGCAGATGTCATTGTCCCAAGCGGCAACAAGTCAAAGGCAATGGTCGCTTCTTTTGTTGTTCCTCCCGAATCTGCAGATGAAAGACAGGAAAGAGATTCCGGTGAGGCGATTCGGGTCTTCAGATGAAAGTCACGACTAGTGAGTCTGGCTTCTCATCTAGACCCATCGACTTGGCAAGACTGCAGAAAGCCTGGGATATCGTTGTCCAGCGTCACGATCTTCTGCGCGCTATTTTCGTTCTTGACTTTCCTGGGAACGACCTAATTTATCAAGTCATTCTGTCAAATGCCTGCCCCAGCATTGAGATCCGGTATGACTCCATCGAATCAGTTGTGACGCAATCTCTCTTGTCACGCGATTCTCCTAGTTATACGTCGTCGAATCTACAGCACCAACTTGCCATACACGTATTGAGTGACTACGAAGCACGTCTGACCTTGGAGATCAACCATGCTATTGTTGATGGACACTCGACAAAGCTGTTGGCCCAGGATCTACAAAGAGCCTACCGAGGCGACGCTACCCCCGCTGTTCCATCTTACGCCGGTTTCGTATCCTTCGTAGGTAACCAGTCACGCGATGAGGGTATACACTACTGGACAGGCCTTCTCGAGGGGGCTGAACTATGCAACTTCCCAGACTTGTCAGCATCGAGTCCATCGGAGGATGATGAGAATGGTACAAACATCTTCGTTCCGAACCTGGACACGGCGAGAATTCGGAAATTCTGCAAGGATCAAGAAATCACGTCTGCTACCATGATCCAACTGGCCTGGGCAATCGTCCTGCGGTGGTACACCCGCTCACTGGACACGTTATTGGGTATATTGTGCTCTGGTCTTGATCTACCAATAGATGACGTTGATGGCATATTCGGGCCTCTAATTGGCATGTTGACTTGTCGATTTACTTTTGATGAGACGAGTGTAGCCGAGGTATTGCACGACTTGCACACTCGCTACCTTGAGGGTCTACTGTATCAAACTGTATCATTGGCAGAAGTCTATGATGCACTGAATTTGGGAACCAATGGATTATTCAACAGTGTCATCTCCTTTGAGAAGGACGACTCGCTGGATCAAGAAAAGAGTCAGCCTGGGAAGCAAGAAGTCAATCAAGATTTCGTTGATGGTCAGAAGTCCCATGTAGAAATCGGCTTCTGGCGTGAATCACAGGCCACGAGCGGCGACTTCAGTACATATCCCTTGACTGTGGCATATCAAGTCTCTAACACGGGAAGTCTACATTTGGGCTGCTATCTCGATTTACGTATACTCCCGCAATGGCGAGCTGACAGGATTCTTGAATAACTAGGGATCTTAATTCAGCAGCTGTCAAAAATGAATCCGGAGGAGTAGATTGATAATATTGACGGTTTGACACCATCCGACAAAAAGTTGCTATGGGCATGGAACAAGAAGATCCCGGATCCTGTAGATCAACATGCCCACGAACTTATTTCGCACCGCGTCAAGTCCCAGCCAGGGGAGTCCGCGATCAATGCATGGGATGGTAACATGAACTACAGAGAGCTCGATGTTGCGTCGTAGAATCTTGCAGCACATCTTGTTGGTACTTTTGGACTGACTGCTGGGGTACTGGTTCCGTTGTATTTTAACAAATCCATCTGGGCTGTTGTCACCATTTTAGCCGTTATGAAAACTGGTGCTGCTTTTGTGCCGCTTAATCCTACGCAGACTCCCGAAAACAGGGAGATGATATTGCGGCAGCTTGATTCTAACATCATTCTAGCATCCCAACATCTTGCAGGCGAGCTCAAGCCAGAGGTGGCCCTGAGCGAGTTGTTTCCGTGGGTCCTCAACTTCTTGCAAACTTCTTCATGCAAGACCGTTGCAAGGATTATATGTCAGAACTGAAAGACCCCATGTCTCCTGCATATGTTATCTTCACTAGTGGCTCTACTGGAAAACCCAAAGGTGTTGTTGTTGAGAACCGAGCTATGGCGACCAGTTGTTGGCACCATGGCTTGGTCATAGAGCTGAAGACGACATCGAGGGTGTTGCAATTTGCTTCTTATGCCTTTGACGCTTCCATTCAAGAGATCATCACAACTCTGGTCCATGGGGGCACTATATGCATTCTCTCTACTCACGATGTACAAACCGACCTCGAGGGAGGCATTCGAAACATGGCTGTCAACACCGCCTATCTCACACCTACAGTCACGAAGTTCATCGATCCCGCGGCTGTTCCTGGGCTCACGACAATCCTGCAGGCGGGGGGATCCTCAACCTTAGGAGACTTCACACGTTGGTCACGGCCAAAGCAGAGAGTTCTTCATGGACATGGGCCAACAGAATGTGCAATTCTCTGCTCTCTTGCAACCGTCGAGCTTGATACACCCGATGAAGTCAATCCTGCCTGTATTGGTACAGCTACGGGAGGAACAAGCTGGGTTGTTGACCCAGACGACCACGAAAAATTGCTTCCGATCGGAGCCATCGGCGAGCTTCCCATTGAGGGTCACATCCTGGCGAGGGTTTATCTAAACGACCAGGACAAGACCAACGCCGCGTTCATCAGCTTACCTGACTGGCTGATGCAAAATGACCCTAGCCGCTGTGGCCGCCTCTACAAGACAGGCGATTTGGTATCATACAATGCTGATGGGAGTCTCACATACCATTTTCGCAAGGATACACAAGTCAAGATTCGTGGGCAGCGTGTTGAGCTCGCTGGAGTAGAAGCTGCACTGTTTCAGTGCCTTGATAATGCTGTTCAGGTCGTGTCTGAGATCATCCACCTCGTTGGCCACGGCGCAAACCCGATGTTGGCGGCTTTCGTGGCAATGGCTAGCAGCGATGAAGCAGCATCGTTCATTCCAAGACACAGCGAAGGCGAAGTTGGTATTCTCCCCGTTTCCGAATCCTTTGAAACTCGAATGTCTCAGCTAGTGCCAAGCTACATGATGCCGTCGGTCTGCTTCGTCATCAAAGACTTGCCCTTAAACTTCTCTGGCAAAGCGGACCGTAAAAAGGTGAACGAGATTGGCTCATCCTTCTCGGTAACAAAACTTGCTGCCCTCAGACGGATCGAGGGGCTCAATAAGCGAAAACCTTTGACAGATGCCGAGCAGTTGTTATGCAACATTGTGGCCAAGGTGCTAAACCTTGACGTGGCTAGCATTGGGCTTGATGATGACTTTTACCGGCTCGGTGGTGATTCCATCACTGCTATCCAACTTTCGTCGGCCGCACGTTCTCAGTGCCTTGATATCTCAACGGCAATTGTAACAAAGCACAAAACGATCAGTCGGATATTGGAAGCCAGTAATTTCAACTCCCACTGTGGTCTGCCGCCTACGAACAGCCACGCTCAAAACCAAACCGTGCATGACAGCAGCGACAATAAAGTCACTCTGACGCCGGTCCAGCAAATGTTCTTCCTTCAACAAACCCCAGAGTTTGCTATGACCAGTTCTTTTATCTTCGGCCGAAAACACTCATCACGCAACCTCGACTTAAGCCTGCCCTTCACAGAATCGTCCAGGCCCATCCAATTCTCCTTGCTCGTTTCAGGCAAGATAGTGCTGGGAACTGGCAGCAGCTCATCTCCGATTCTTTCGAGGACTCTGCCTGTTGCATATCTCAGACCTGCGCTGACTATCAAGAGGTTGCATCGGTCATTCGACAACAGCGAGGCAGTTTAGACCTCACAGTTGGCCCGTTAGTTGCTGTCGTACTCTTTGAAGTCGGTGGGGATCAGACGCTTTTTATCGTGATCCATCATCTCGTTGTCGACTTGGTTTCTTGGCGTATCATTCTGGGCGATCTGGAACTATTGCTTACGTCGGGTAACGTTTCTGAGGCATCTCTAGAACCGACGACGTCGTTCCAGACTTGGTCGTCCCTGCAGGCCCAGCATGCTATACACTTCAACAAAGCTCCTGAAAAGCAACGTACTATTCCACCACCGCAGATCTCATACTGGATCAACCAATGTTCTGAGACGAACTGGAGCGACGGCGCAACAATACTCTCCTTGTACATCGATGAAAAGACAACATGTGCCATCTTGGGAGCTTGCAAGGATACCCTGGGCACGAGACCTATTGAATTGATGATCTCAGCATTGCTCTTTTCATTTGGTCAGACGTTCAAGGACAGAACATTGCCAACCGTTATGAACGAATGTCATGGTCGCGAGACATGGGATGAGTCGCTGGATTTAGATCTCTCCAGAACAGTCGGCTGGTTCACCACGTTATATTCCATCCATTTGATCCTAACACATCCTCCACATCCGCTGTGACTTTCAAAGCATCTGATACCGCCCAGAAACGTCAAGACTTCATCGTTTTAACGCACCAAGCTATGTCTACCGAGTCCTACGCCGACAAGGGTGCGGCATGGTTCACCTCTCAATTCCCCACTTAATATTAGGGTGGAGGGGGGGCTGCTACTTTGTTTAAGCCTAAGTCCAACAGACACAATCAGACTGACAGTGTAGTGTATGCAGGGAACAATATCTAAAAGCCACTTTATTACTATGACGTGTTCTAGATGCATCTGCCTCTAGAGTGTGCTACTAGCAACACCCATGTATTACTAGGCTACCTTGTATTTACTGGAAGAATTACTTTTATATAAACTCATTTATGGGTGTTATTTTTTTTACAATATAAACTTAAAAGTTGTAATATTTAAGAAAAGGATACACTTATCAGGGCATAGCCGTATCAGTTGCCTTGTCTACTTGGTAAGATGACCCAATGATTCATATCATAATCATAGGTTTTGTGGCTGGAACTTTAATAAGTGGGAAGTTTATATCAGAAGTGCTAGCGCATACGGGAGAGTGTACTAAGGTGTTGTTCATAGCCCATTTCCTTTAACTAAAGAGCCTGGTGCACGCTTGCTGAGGCCAAGTTCCTCAATGCTGTGAAATTTCAACCGGTCTTATTTCATCCCAAATACGCATTACTTCTATTGAACTGAAGTCATTATAATGTTCGGACGTCGACGAAGACCTATTCTCGGTGCCGCTGTTGTTGTCGGCGCATCCCGGGCAGCCGCCAGGCATGAAGTACAAAAGCAAGAATTTATAGCCACTGAGCGGGAGGCTGAGATACAACGGGGCATTGAGCTGCGGAGGCGTGAAGAGGAAGAAGAAGAGCGACGAACACAGCGCGTTGTCGATGAAGCCATGAAAAAGGCTGCCCTGGAAGGAAACGCAGCTCAACAGAGCGCCGCTACAGTCTCGACGCCGCCCCTGCCGCAGTATTATGATACCTATCCAACGATGCAAGTTCAAACGCGGGATATGGGGCTGTATAACTCAGCGAACGACGCCGGACCCATCATCCAGCCGGTACCAGCATACCAGCTAGGACCTCAGTCCGCTGAGGGGAGACTCCAGACCGCTCAAGAAACGCCAGGATCCAAAACTGAATACTGCACCCAGTGCGGCTTCGCTTGTCAAGCCATGGATAGGTTCTGTCGTCAATGCGGTGTAAGACGGGCGTCCCAAGGGTGATCTGATTGTATCAAATTATCACTCCCTTTATGAGAAAAGGTCGCTGTTTACTCAGAGGTCATAAGGCTCCAATACATTCACTGCGGGGAGGTATAGCCAATCAGGGTACCGTAATCAGCTAATACTAGCTAAATTGCATGTCACTAAAAGTCAAGAAATTGTAAAAGCGTAATAAGTAATAAATATCTATTGACAAGATATCATACTAATCGTTACAGGAGGTTAACCCGTTACAGAGGTGACTCCTTTACATACTCTTCCTTAGGCAAAACCCTTATAGCTTTCTTCTGCGTAAGGTCAAATGGAACAGAGTACGGAAAGAAGCCTTATGGCCTCTCAGGAGATTTTAAAACACCTCTGAAAGGCAGTGGTATAAAGATGTAGTTTATATATTTGAATATGGCGTATCTATGTAATGGCTATGAGCTAAATTTAGAGATTTGGGCTTGATATCGAGTTCCTGATAAATACAATTTAGAGCGACAGCTAATGGCTCCGTTATAGCTATACTATCGATGATTAAGGGCGATCTTTTCTAACATCGGCAGCTTTCAAGTTAATTACGGGCACCACGATTACCGCTTCTTTATTAAAGGAGTCATACGGTGGCACGCTTCTATACAAACATGTGTCAGTCACCTGAAACGTCTTATTGGATTGGTCTCCACGCCACCAGCTACGTCGGGTATAGGTTAACCTGCCACGATCATCATCAGTAAACGTCCTCGGCCAACCTGAGTTACAACCAAAACCTATAAAATGAGTTTCTGTTCTTTCAAGGTCGTGCATCTTTCAAGGTCTGGATTTTCCAAAAGTTTTGCATCTAAACCACCAACATGTCTTGCCTTAACCATCAACCAGACGAGAGTCGACACTTCAAGCAAGGGCGGCGGCACCATCATCATCACAATGATAAAGATGATTCATATCGTCGTCATCATCATCATCGTCATATTCACAACAGTCGACTGGATGACAACGGAATGAATTATTACGAACGGCCAGAAGGGTGGCGTCACTTGAGCGATCGACTAGGTGTGGAGACCTTAATTAGTGAGGCTTGTTTCCAGACTAATTCCTTTTGGGGTCTGCGCTTACAAAATACGCTTTCAGCCAAGATGATTGAAATGAGCGGTGATAGGGGCGTGCAGAGTCCCAAAAGACGCAGCAACAGCCAACACGCGTTGCAAAAGGGTGTCCGTATAGGGGCGGAAGTAGCGTATCGGATTCGAAATGATAGAGGGCCCTGGGCTGGTGAGAAAGCAATCAAAGTTATCAGTGCAGCTGTAGCATCAGCAACCATTGACTTATTGCTGGACACTGATTCAAAAAATCATCCCCTGACACATGCTGCCGTTGTGACAGTTGAAGGAGTTATTATAGATAGAATCATAAATGGTATAATGAAGTTATGAAATGTGTATATTATCTCCTAAGAGCTCAAGGGGCTCCAACCAGGTCACTATAAGGGGTCATAGCCAATTAAAATTCATTAAACAAAAGGTACTTCGGATGCAACCTTAATTATGTAGTGGTAGAAGTACCACTAGGTCTCATTATTACAAATCGGTACATCACATATCTTACACCCATACCTAGTCTGCCAGCTGTGATGCCTTCCTCTTGCGTTACCGCTGATTTCAGCGAAAGCATGCCTTCTTAGGCCTTTTGACCTTATCTGCCCTTGCCGAAAGCCCTAACAAGCTAGGCACTTTGAATAACGGCCACGATAGACATGGTTGATGTCCCTGTCTATGTATTTGAATTGCTATAGATTGTACAGTAACTTTGCTGTCACTCTTTGAGCTTTAGGATGGAGAGCTAAGGGATCGTCATCATATTGCGGATATGTCAGGTACATGGAGAGAAACTCTAGTCCTCCACCAGCATCCATCTCAGCAAGGATAGCTCTACTAGCGGAACCATCCCTCCTTCATGGCTGCAGAAACAGGGTTTTCCCTGTCTCACTCTCGAGCCTCACAACCCTCCATTCGTTTGAAAGGGTTTGGCGCCATGAGACCCTCTAAGGGTAGTATGGCGCGTGCATCCGAATAGACGGCACCAATCGAGAAATGAAAGACTGAGAGACAGAGGGTCTAGACCGACCCTTATTAGATCTAATCTGCAGGACATGGACTGATCTTGGATCACTAATCAGTGCATTGGTACGCTCCGAAATGTAGTAGATATGAGATGAATGGTTGGAAATCAAGCCAAACACACTTCAGAATGGGAGGGCTCTGAACAACGATCACAGAGAGAAAATGAGAGTTGACTAAGAAAAGGAGAAGACCCGAATTTCCATGAGACAAAACCAAACAAACTCTCCTCTGTAGCCATCTGAGCCTCTATTTCTCAAACGGTGACAGAGTGAAATACATCCAGTCGGAATAGCTTCATATCTGTCCCGTCGGCCATCGCCCCGTCGCCGTCATGCCCGTTGCTCCTGGGAGCAGCATCACCTGCTCCATTCTCCTCGCCGAACCAAATCTTTTTCTTTCAGGGTTTAACCACTTATATCACGATTGTTGTGAGGGCCAGAATGGTACCGCGTTGTTGCGAGGAACGCTCCAACTATGTGTCCGCCAGAAGACTAAGATCAAGTCGGTGCAGCTCAAGTTGCTTGGGCACGCTCGCATGGAATGGCCACAGCAAACAGAGTCGGGTTTTTATGAGGAGGATAACTTGCAAACACAAGCGTTAACATTTTTCAACGCCATGAACAATTGGGAGAAGGACGATTATGGGAACCAGTGCACGTACCAGCGTAAGAGCACATCACCCAACGATACCAACCTTGAAAGTAAAATAAACACGTCGAAGTCATTAGAGATGAATTGTCAGAGTGATTTAAGTGCGAAAAGGAGACCGCGGTTGTCCCCCGGCCACATTCAAACGCAAAGCTTCAACAAGGGCAGCATGACGGCGCCAGTAACTCAAGCGAAATGGTACAAGGTTTTTTATCCGGGCACATACGACTATGCCTTCGAGTTTCCGATCGACCATCACCAACTAGAGACCATAAAGGTACCATATGGCTCTGTGAAGTGGGAGCTGCGTGCTACGATCGATCGTGCTGGTATGTTCAGCATTAATCTACGTGGCAGAAAAGAGCTTTCATTTGTGAGAATCCCCGATCCATTATCTCTAGAGATGATGGATCTAATCTTATTCAGCCGGCAATGGCAGGATCAACTGCACTACGACATAATCATATCTGGGAAGAGCTTCCCCATCGGCAGCATGATTCCAATTATTTTCAAGTTGACGCCTCTCGATAAGGTCCAGATGCATGGGCTTAAGGTGTTCGCGATCGAGTCGATAGAATACTGGTCAAATGACAGGAAGGCCACCAGGAAAACGCCCACCCGTACAGTCCTGCTCCTTCACAAGACAGCTACGAAAGCATTTTTTCCGTCATGGGCGACTTCAGGCCTTATAACTGTCCGTGATAGTGAATTCAGCCCGGAGCCGAGAGGCGAGACTCGCGAAATGGCTGCTGAACAACGAAGTGCGGAGGCATCGGGGGGGCAGACCGCAGCCCAACCCGTGACAGGAACGCGAGAAAACATATTGGGCAGCTCGGATACGGAACTGCAGAATTTCTGGGGCACAACTGAGATCGAAGCAGTTGTGCAAATCCCCACATGTAGGATGATGGCAAAGAACGAGGGCTTGAGGCTGCACCCGAAGTGTATCTGGAAGAATGTCCGCACGAGCCACTGGATCAAGGTGAATTGAATACCACCCTCCTTCCCACTTAACTTTAGACTGATAATGAAGAAACAGGTCATACTGCACATCAGCCGCCTTGATGTGGATGATCCAATTGGAAAAAGGCGCCGGTATTTCGATACCACCCTCCACTTGCCGATTACTCTACTCGATTGCCGAGCTAATCAGGCCAACATGAACCTTCCATCCTACACCTATGAGAAACGCCAGTTCGTGACCTGTCAGACAACCTGTGGATGCCCCGATGCTTCGATCATCCCTACCAAAAAGACGCGCCGCCATGTAACTGGAGCACTGGCTGCACACCACCTTGTCAATGACCAACAAGGAGCACCACCTGCTATAGACCCTGAGCATCCTACCCAGCTATTGCGTGGCCGAAATTTCAACCAGCCTAGCTTCAACAACGACATCACACCACCCATCCCTGAACTCATCAATGATGTACCCCCACCGCACTACGACGACATTATTGGCGGCACCAATGTCAACGGGCCTCGCAGGTTACTTTTCCCGCCTAGCAGATTATGACTTAGATAGGACCCTTCGTTTTCAGTAGTGCCATCCGCTCTCGCGAGGCATTTCTTCCAGGTTTGGAGGTACACTCTCTAAATAAGAAAGGCAAAGTGCGGGGTCAAAAGGTTGCACCCGATTAGGCCAAGGTTTGATAATTGACTTTGGTGGGGTAGAAGAGACGTATTGTTGGAGTGGAAGCTTATTGGGTTGCTGAGGATAAAGATGATAGATAATCAATTATGAAACTGGGCTCCGGGATATGGCCGGCCGCATTGGGTACCGAGGTTGCAGTTGTATTATTTAATTATAAGGCTATTATAAATAGAGCTATTAAACAAGTAGTATATTTTCTATTAATAGACCAATATACAGTTTAAATCGCCTATTTATTAAGTGCATTAATGGCAACATTTACATCAATATAAACTGCCTATACTTATACTTGCACTATCCACTTTTATACTCTCTTTCGTCTTCAGCAGAATGCTTACTGCCCTTGCGTTTTCTGTCTGCTTTTATCTGTTGCATACCTTTTTGTGCTCCTGTGTCGGAATGATGGGGAATTGTGAAGTTCGGCTAATCGGAACATGTGTGTGCTGCCCTGGGCCACTCGGATATTGACTCCTTCCGCGACGGCTTTGTTTCCGTAGCACCGGAATAGTGATAAGAGTAGTTGACCTTGGCTATATAAGCCTTGACACACATGAAACCCTATTTATTCGCCTGTAAGTGCAGATCAGCGCGGGATCTTAATTCTCTCTTGCCAGATTTTGAAGTCTGTTACATTGCTCGATTGCCAACATGGAGCAGCCTCCCAAACATCTTAATTCAGTAACCCAATCTTGCTTCGAGAAGCCTCCAGAAACTCAAGACTTTGAAAAGGGCACAGTACAACAGTACGATACGATGAAGACTTCGAGATGGATTTGAATATTGTGCTAAGGATAACATTCAGATATGATCAATCCGGACCGCCTATCAATGAGGCGTTGGAGTCCAAGCTTCGATGGAAGATGGATCTCCGAATACTTCCCACAGTTACAATTATTTACTGTACGCTCTGAGAGTCTGAGGCAGTAGAAAAGAAGTGGCTAATATACTCACGATTCAGTGCTTTGCTTTATCGATCGTGCGAACATTGGTGAGCATATCACAACAACTACTCTCGAGCGTATATCTCATGATTCTCCAGGCAATGCAAAAATTGCAGGTCTAGAGGCCGACCTGAAGATGCAGGGTTATGACTTTAATATTTCTCTCTCCATCTTTTACATCTCCTATATCTTATTTGAGATCCCTCTGAATCTCTTATGCAAGCAGATAGGACCAGGTTGGTTTATTCCTGTATGCTGTCTCGGCTTCGGTATTTGCACTACCTGCACGGCTTTCGTTCATGACTTCTCAACTCTGTGCGGGCTCCGGTTCTTACTTGGCGTCTTCGAAGCAGCCATGCTACCGGCGAACGTATACTATCTCTCACGATGGTATCGACGCAGTGAACTGACTTTTCGGCTTTCGTTCGTCATCATTTCGGCATCCTTGGCGGGTGCATTCGGGGGCCTGCTTGCCTCTGCAATTTTGCGTCTTCAAAGTTTCGGCTCCCTGCATTCTTGGAGGATGATCTTTGCGATTGAAGGTTCGACAGCCCGTGACTACCCATATCTTAATGATCAGCCAATGCTAATCCAAGCCATTAAAGGTACCGTGACGTGTGCAGTGGGACTAATTTCGTTCTTCACGCTTACCGATAGGGTCGAAACTGCCACCTGGTTGTCATTGGAGCAAAAGGAATTAGCAAATGCAAGAATCATGTCCGAGAGAGTCGGAACAACTGAGATTATCGACAAGTTTAGTACAAAGAGGATGCTCCGAGGCATCCTGAACCCAGTGGTGCTCCCAACAGCCATGATTTCCTTCTTCAACTTTATCACTGTACATGGCTTGTCCTTCTTTCTCCCTACTATTGTTCGGACAATCTTTCCTCAGCACTCTGTCCAGAACCAACAACTCCTCACAGTTCCACCAAACGTACTGGGCACAATTATGTGTATGCTATTCTGTTACATAAGCTGGAAGCTGGACAAGCGCGGCATCTTCCTTATCATCTGTGCACCGTTCTCTATGGTGGGGTACAGCATGTTTCTGGCAACATCCAACCCACATGTGCGCTATGCGGCAACGTTTTTACCGGTATGCGGCATCTTCGCATTGGGAGCATTCCCCAATGCCCATGTCTCAGCAAATGTTATCTCGGATACTTCCCGATCATCTGCGGTTGCTTTCAACGTGATGCTTGGTAATATTGGAGGCTTGGTATCAACTTGGGCCTTTCTCCCTTTCGATGGACCCGAATATCGAATTGGTAACGGTTTGAATCTGGCAGCGCAATCTGCTATCTTTCTGATTAGTCTCTGTATGTATTTCGCAATCCAGAGGAGCAACAAGAGAAGGTCTGGGGTGAATGTAGAGAGAGAATTAGCTGGCAAGACTTTGTCAGAAATTCAAGACCTCGAATGGCGACACCCGGGCTTCAGATGGCACAATTAGGATAGGCAAGTTGCACACAATATCTCAATGATTGATTCTCGCGACAAGTCGTGCTGAGTCCCGCTTGTCATTATCCCCTATCTAACGTCCTCTTCGCAATCATTTGAGGCAACATGGCCACATAAATTTAGTCTCAAGTCTAGCTAGCGTTCAACTTTGTTGTTTTTTGCGTTTCATTGCTTTCTTTATTCATTTGGAGATATTTGTTCACTACTGTCATTACTTACTTAAGGAGGCTGCACTGCTTTTGACGCATTATGACAGATATCAACACAATTCTGGCAAGAGACGGGGTTCAATAATCCGTCTTCAGGCTGATTCAGGTTGATTCCTCTAGCTCTAACTGCTCGTTCAACATACCCAATTGAGCTAGTATGAGATGAGAACGTAAATCCAAGAGCCAATCGGGGCCATATCGGAATGGCTTCCGGAGTATCCACATCGGAACCAATCGTCATGGTCGAAGCGTGATGGAGTAGCAGGAGTAAGACTTTGGAAGCTATGATGAATCAATCGAATGAGGATTAAATTATGCTCCGGCCGATAAATTTCATGGAACTATGCCTCCATGATCCAACCTTCGATCCAAAGTCTCTTGTTTTCTTGCATCATTTTGCTATTGTAGCCGCAAGACACTTCACTAGGTTTAAATCTGGTTTACCAACGAAACATGGCGACAAATGCAACATATGCAACAAGTGACAGTCCTGGTACTGTCGATAGAGGAGAAAAAAGGCGACAGAATGACTCGGATGGTGAAGGAAGCGGCCCCAAGCGGCGTCGAGTTGCCCTTGCTTGTGTTGCATGTCGGGTTCGCAAGTCCAGGGTAGGTAGTCTCGCGGCGGGGTGCAGGGCATCTATATATTAAGCTTCTATTGTTACTAATGTCTGTCTCACATTTTAACTCATCAGTGCAATGGAATCCGCCCCAGATGTGGGCTTTGTGAGCGATTGGGGTTTGAATGCACCTACGAAACCCCAAATTCATTCGCCAACCTCATTGTTGGCAAAGAGTGTGTTTCCCAAGGTTTCTGTACACTCTTGTTAACCGCATAACTAAAGCCCTGCAGCGTGATAGCAACGATGGAATCTCGTATGCAAGCACTCGAGAAAAATCTTCAGCTCATCAATAATCACCTCGACACCACCGCAAGGACTGACCCATGTGCCACATTCATCTCGCCTCACAGCGCCGCCTCTCCCGAGGACGATGCCCTGCCTCCACCTGGCACAGTTATTGTCAATGTTCAGCATCAGGAGTCAGATGAGCATATTGAAACCGGCGAAACAGACGGTATGGCAATATCGCTTGTAGCTGAGAGAGATCATGGTTACTTTGGTGAGCACCAATAGAAAACGAAAAGGTGAGACTCGCACCGTTCTGACATGACTTAGGCCCATCATCCAATATCTGTCTCATGCATGTCATTTTCCGTGCCATGGCCCGACTCAATTACTCATCTCATGCAGAAACCCAGTCGCCCTCTAACAGGATCCAAGCAAGTGATCCCAACACAGTCAAAATTGCGAAGCCAAATCCTCCGGCCACGGTCGCCAGAGATGTGGCTCCAAGACAAGAATTCATTGGCTACAACTATCTCCCCCCAGAGGCAGAGACAGAAAGGTTGATCCAGAGTTACTTCTCTAATACCGGAACCTTCTTTCCGTACATCCACGCGCAATCCTTTATGGAAACGTATCGGCAGATGAAGCAACACGGATTCCGCGTCACCATCCGTCGAAGTTGGCTTGCCTTACTCAATATGATTCTGGCCATGGCAACGGCATGTGAGCAGGGTCAGCACAGCGCGGAAACACAGCCAACAGCTAAATCAGATGTCTACTTTGAGCGTGCGCAAGCTTTGTGCAGGGAACAGATATTCCACAGCACAACACTTGAAACGGGCAAGTCGCGGAAGTCGATTTAGACAAGGTTTAACAGCTAACTCACTCACCCTCAGTTCAGTTTTTGCTCTTGACGACTCAATATCTCCAAGGGACCCAGAAGGCAAATCAGACCTGGATAAACCATGGACTAGCCGTGAATGCAGCACTTTCAATCGGCTTGCACTCCAGCGAAGCCTCGGCTCACTTGCCCCAGATTGAAAGAGAAATGAGAACCCGCACGTGGTATGGATGTGTGGTGCTGGACCGGTATGAGCTCGTCAGCAGCGCTTTGTTTTGAATATCTTCTGAACATTCTCTAGAAGTTTAAGTATGACATACGGTCGACCCAGTTCCATACCCGAATACTACGTGAAGCTCGATCTGCCAGTCTTGGTAGCCGGAGACCAGTGTGGAAGCAGGGGTATAGCATTTTATAATTCAACCATGTTAGTTACGCTCTCAATCACTCCCTTTCCCGCTGATGCAAGTCTCTAACCTTGCTTTGTAAAGAACACTTTACAAAATCGTAGGAAGAATCATGGGAGACCTCTACGGCCATAATCTGCGCTGCGATGAACTCTCAGACGTGGAAATGGTGACCCGTATCTTCCAACTACAACACGAGCTTAACGATTGGCCCCGTTCACTCCCTTCGGAGCTATCTCTAATCACGTCATCGCTGATAGCCGAAAATCCATTCGAGGAGTCACCTATGCAGAGGTTTCGCATTATTTTAACGCTTCGATACTTGAACGCGCAGCTACTACTACAGCGTCCACCTCTTAGCAAGCTATTGCAAGCTGCAAACGATCAGGCACAGCGGCTGAACCCAGTCGATCAAGTGCAGGAGAAGCTCGTGGAAGAATGCGCCCAATGTGCAGAAGAGATCATTTCAATCATCCACGCAACCTTGGCTATTAAAGACCAAGGGAGGAGCCTACTTGGGGCATGGTGGTTCACCATCTACTACAGTATGTTGAAGACCACGATTCACCCATTCCTGACTTGGATGCATGGCTAAAAGATTAATTTGTAGTATTCAACGCCGGTCTGATTATATTTGCAAGCCTGGTACCATTGAGCAAGACTGAGACCAAACTCGACACCTCCAACCCAATGTGGAGAGGAAAGCAGTGTCTAAGTAAGGCTATCGAAGCGCTCACTCGGATTGACGGGGACAGCATGCTTGTCGATAGATGCGTTAAGTATCTTCAACAATTGCTACGTCTGACCGATGATTGGTGTAAGTTATCCACAGTTTCTTCCTACCTATATCTGCCTGATCTGAGAAACAACGTTGCTAACCAATTTCCCAACATATCAGTGATATCTGCAGGGGATGGAAACGCGGCCTGGCCTGGTTCACAAGGAATGGCTCTGACAGAAATCAACAGTTCCGAAGTAGTGGACTTGGACTTTCTTATGAATATGCCTCTGATGCAAAGCATTGATGATTTTGGAAACGACATCCAATTAGCCTTGTATCCCACGGATCTATTCTAGTTAAGATCTCAGTACACATATAACCTAAGCCAGAATATGTCCATAATCATGACTCGGGTTTTCTAATTGAGGTGACGCAAAACAAGTGATTCAGCGCACGCAGATAGCAGATAGCCCTGGTGGAATATGACAGCCGAAAGAAGCGGGGTGTAGCACTGGTTGAATTGCATCTCCAATCATGTCCGGCCGGAACGACCGAAGCTACGGAAAGTCCTTTCCTATCCTATGCGACGGAACTGCGATGCGTAGAACCTTGTCTGGTCCACACGGGCCTGGCCTTCGGTGGCCACTCTACTTGGTGCGGAACAACTGTATCAGGTTTGACTGCGTAAATAAGGTAGTCAAACTGAGGATGGAGATAACAGATAATGTTATGACATTACCGCTCTGCTTGAGAATGGAAAGACCGAATATCCGGGTTACTTAAACCGTATATCCGTACAGGACGAGGTGACACAGACTCCGCCTTGATAAAGCTAACGCTGCAGCACAACAATCACAAACCACTTACGTTTCAAGCCAAGTACAGTAGCAAACCCTAGCAAGTTCACTGCATAATTTCATTAGTCTTGATCATGATGGAAAACAATTTCTCCGCGCCTCCAGTTCTCCCAGCTACTCGCCTGCGAAACCCTACAGCCAACCTTACAATCCTGGAGCCGCTCAGTAGGAGGGGTTTTGGACCAGGACTGATCATCCTCGTGCCCGAGACTGGCAAAGCCACCAGTAAAACCCTGCGAATCGAAGGATGTGTGCCATCTCCGTTGATGAAATGGGCCGAAGAGGGCTACACTGTCGCCGAGATCACAGAGGCAGGACTTGCCAAGCCTGATGTGGCTATCACCCAGGGGCTGAAGGAGCTCGAGACTACCAGGTCTACTGAGCCTAAGAACGTTGTTGGCATCATCGGTAAGTCTTGAATCATCTAACATCAACCAAAAGATCGGACTGGCGAGCTAACAGACCTCCTCACAGCATACTCGACAGCTCTTTGGAACCAAATAGCTCCCCATGTCGACTCATTCTCACAGATCTCAGGTGCTGTCATTTTTGGCGACCTAGAAGGTGACGAGAACTCTGTCATCAAATCTTCCAAAGTCCCTCAACTGCATCATCTTGCTGGGAGTGCCTCCAAGCCCTTGCAGCGTACAAAGGCGGTGACGGCTTACGACTACCCGAAAGTAACCTCGTACTTGTTTGCCACTCCTTTCAGCAAAGATTTCAGCTACAATATGGAGTCTGTTTCCCACAGCCGAAGTCTAAGCTTCTTAAAACCTCTTATGAACGGACCTTATTTTGATCTAGAAGTCATTTGGGACGAACATACCTATTGGGAGTTCGAAAACCGCTCCGTGGAGAATACCATGAACACCATGGTACAAGAGCCATACGTCAATCATGTCCCTACGGTAATCACCTTTCTCAGTTTCACTTTGGTCAAAAGAAGAATAGCGACTAACTCATAATGCCCAGATGACTGGTGGGATTGGCCGGGAGAAGCTGACTGTCTTCTACCGCGACCACTTCATTTTCCAGAATCCCCCAGACACAGAAACCTACCTCATTAGCAGATCTGTTGGTATCGATAGAGTGATCGACGAGTTTATTTTCATCTGCACTCATCATTCGCAGATTGACTGGCTGTATGTTTCAGAAGCCAAATACCTCATGCGCGAGCATGCCAACTAACGCTTCTTCTACTAGTGCACCGGGGATCCCTCCCACAGGACGAAAGCTTGAGATACCGTTCACCGCTGTCGTTAACATCCGTGGAGACCGGCTTTATCACGAGCATATTGGCTGGGACCAGGGAACAGTGCTAGCGCAGTTGGATATAATGCCCTCCTACCTACCGTATCCTCATCCAGTGCCCAATGCGCAGAGCCAAGGGAAATTGGAATACCGCGTCCCTATCGCAGGCGTGGAGACTGCTGACAAGTTGCGGGACAAAGATGCAGTAGAGTCGAATGAGATGTTTGCGTTTGGTCTTCGCAAAGTCTGATGGATGGTATAGGACGATACATTTGACGGAGTTGTTCTTCATCATGGGCCAATATTTAAACTTCAGTTTCTTTACACATGGCTGTAGACACGTGACACTCCTGGTCTAATTACTGTGATAATAAGATGTTACTGAGGGGCATGAGTTGGCGGCACTCACTACTCATTCGAGACAGCGTCAGGTCACAAGCTGCTGTGAGTTGGTCGATCCACACTTTAACGGAGAATACGGAATGACGGACGGCTCTGCGGCTATTAGAGACACATCCGAAGAGTATGTGGAGTAATCCAAAGGACCCAGCCAATATAAAGCCTCGAGTCCACCTCGTTAGGCATGCGTATTCCGCTCGTCTGAATAATCCGTGCCTTTCTCAAAACATTCTAACCACAATCTCAATCAACCCAGATCCCCTTGAACAAATCTATTATCAGCTTTCAACTATGACAGATATCAAGCTTCAGAATGTCCGGCCAATGTTTGAGCTGCGCGGTCGCAATTATATCGTGACCGGCGGCCTTGGTGGTATCGGCTATGCAGCTGTGCGGTCGCTCTGCGAAATGGGCGCCAGTGTAGCCGTGTTAGACATTCAAGACAGATCAAAGGACGCATTAGCCGGCGTGGAAAATGAGTTTGGCACCAGGGTTTTCTACTTCCAGACCGATGTCACCAAACTTGACAGCCTGAATGCTGGTGTCGATAAGGCCATTGAAGCCCTCGGGTCGCTTGATGGATGTCTTCCTTGCGCGGGGATCAACTGCAACAAGCCATTTGTTGACCAGTCCTGGGATGAGTTCACGCGCATTCAGGAAATCAATGTAACCCCGCCCTCCCTTTGGTGCCGTTAACTAGCTAACGCTCCCTTACAGGTCCGAGGAACATTTTTCACTGTCCAGCGCGTGGTCAAGCAGCTGATCAAGCAAGGAACCTCTGGCAGTATTGTCATGATGGCGTCTCAGTGCGCTCACATCGCTATTCCAGGTTGCCGCATGTCCTCCTATAACGCATCCAAGGGCGGCGTTCTTATGCTCACCAAGGCACTTGGGGTAGAGCTGGCCAAGCACAACATTCGTGTTAATTCCATCTCACCTGGGTATGTAGATTCTCAGATGTTCAGGGATGTATTGGCCACTCAGAGTGAGCGCGATGCGAAACAACCATTCCAGGCCCCGCCATTGAGGCGCCTCAGCGACCCAAATGACCTTACCCCCGCTATTATTTATCTTTTCAGCGATGCGTCTAGACACATTACTGCTACAGATATCAGGATTACGGGTGGATTGGACGCTGGGCAGATTGACGGACACATTACCTACGAATAAGAAGACCGCGCTGAGTAGGTTATTCAATAAGATATTCATGACAAATACAATTGTGTCCAATGTTTATCCTCCTATTGCTGGATACTCATGTATCCCTTGTTTGTGAAGTGCTCTAGAAGGAGTAAATGCGTCCTGCTAGGGTCCACAATATAGATCTGTAATGTGTAGAATGAGAGTATTCCGTTCGTCCTGCTGCGGAAAGAGCCCAGCCCAGGGCTGAGTATCCCCAGGTATTCTCTTCACTCCTACCTATCCCCGGCCGGGTTCCGGATCCACTTTTTCGGACCGTTCCGTAATCACGGTAAACCCGGTTGGAAAGGTGGAGCCAGTTCCGAAATCTCCTAATCTCTCTCCGATAAGGTCGTCGCAATACTAGTGCAAAGCTTGTTTTGATGCAGAGGCTAGTCACTCCATTGTACCCTTCGGAGTTTTGGCGTCGAGAACTACCGCTTGGGGGTGGTACAAGTCGGTTTGGAGCAGGGGGTCCCAAAACGCTCTGACATGGGATTAGGAAAGCTTATCATGGCGTAAAGGAACAGCAGGCCATTGCATATCGTAGAAGACGCCCATTCTACCCAGGCAGTTTGCATTCGTACTTCCTCTGCCCATTCACGCTGTCTCATCTATCCCACTGTCTACGAATCAGATTCCATTAATCCAAACATGTCAGAATCATATGACTTGGTCGTCATTGGCTCTGGTGAGTTCCAGCTCCCCTCGCTCTCCAAAATTCACACCAACTGAAGTAATCACAGGCTGGTTCGGCCTCGGCGCCTCCAAAGCCTACATCGAAACGCACCCTGATGAGAAGGTCGCGATCCTCGAAGCAAATGACTCCATTGGAGGAACGTGGTCGGCCAACAGACTGTACCCAGGTCTCAAGTCCAACAACATGATTGGAACCTACGAGTTTCCTGACTTCCCTATGAGCAAAGACGTTTACGGCGTTGAGGAGAACGATCACATTCCTGGCAAGACTCTGCACAAGTATCTCACTGATTATGCCCGCAAGCATGGCGTACTTGAGAGAACCCAATTCAACAGCACAGTCGGTCAAGTTGAGCAGACCAGCGAGGACGGCTGGAAGCTTACAGTGACAAGCCCTCAGGGTGAGCGTCAAATCGAAGCAAAAAGAATAGTTGTCGCCACTGGTCTCACCTCTACTCCCAACATGCCTTACTTCGACGGCAGCGAGAACTTTGGCAAACCTCTGTTCCATGCCAAAGAATTTTGCTCTCGAGCCGATGAGGTCAAGGACGTCAAAAATGCTATTGTGGTTGGTGGTGCCAAATCTGCCTATGATGTTGCATACGCTATGGTTGATGCTGGAGCTCAGGTTGACCTGATTGTCAAGCCGGAGACCAACGGCCCCGTGTGGATTGCGCCTCGCTGGGTGACGCCCGTGAAGGCCCGTATTGACAAGACCTTGTCTGTTCGCTTCATGACTTGGTTTGCTCCCTGCCCTTGGGGCCACGAGGATGGCTTCAGTGGAATCCGGCGCTTTCTTCATGGTACGGCGGTTGGGCGCATGATTGTGCGTGCATTTTGGAGATCAATGGGCAACGACGTTTTAAACCAGATCAATTATGATAATCACCCAGAGACCAAGAAGCTAAAGCCGTGGTATGACGTGTTCTGGATCGGCAGTGGTCTCAGTATTCTCAACTTCAACAAGGATTTCTTTGACTTGGTCCGTGACGGAAGGATTCGCGTCCACATCGACAACGTCAAGCGTCTTGAGCCCGGCCAAGTCCTTCTAGAGTCCGGAAAGAGGCTCAAGGCAGATAGCATGATCTGCTCTACAGGATGGAAGAAGGAGTCGCTCGTCAAGTTCTCCAATCTCGGTGAGCACGCCTTTGGCCTACCATATGGCCCGAAGGAGCAGGCTCAGCTTAATTCCGAGTTTGATGCGCGCGTGAAGAAGCAGTTCCCTCACCTCAAGCAACAGCCCAAGCTTCGCTCCCCTCCCCGCCCGAACGCTGAGCCTCTGCGGAACTACCGCTTTATGATCCCTCCTGCTTTCCTTGGTAAACGCAACATTGCCTTTGCTGGTATGATCTCGTCTGTTACAACGGCTGTCTGTGCTTCGATGCAAGGAGTGTGGATCTCTGCCTATTTTGACAACAAGTTGGTTCGAGAAAGTAAGTCTCAGGAGGAGATTACAAATGAAGTCATGATGCACACACAATGGGGCAAATGGCGTTACCCTGCTGGCTATGGGGCGAACCTGCCTGACTTTGTGTTTGAAGGCGTTCCTTATGTTGATATGCTGCTCAATGACCTTGGCGTCAAAAATCGTCGCAAACCGTCCTTTTACGCTGAGCTGACGTCCCCGTACACCCCTAAAGATTACAATGGTGTCATGGACGAGTACAAGGAGCGTACACAAGCCAGATGATTCCATGAAAACATCCTTTATTGGTTATTTGTCTGCTATTTAGTCGAGGAAGATAGTATTCGCAATTGTAGTATTAATCGGTTGAACTAGTAACGAACCATCCGTGTCTAATGATAACGCTACTGAAGACCTCTGTAAGTAAAGTCCAGTGGGATAATCTACCGATTGTTGATCAGTATCATTTAATCCCAAAGATCGGCCTAGGTAGGAGATGTACGTGAAGTATTGCCAAGAGATGTTCGCTGATGGTGTAGTTTAGTGATTCTTTCTCAGAAACCCCAGCCTTTTACTTCATTCCTCATCGATCAGAGGCAGATTAAGATTTCACAGTATGCGCCTTTCTGGAAATCGAAATTAAATGGCGTGGTTCCCTTCAATTTAGACCATGAGGCTGGCAGAACATACTACACGAGGGGGCATTCTATCAGTAGACTACAAGTGGGATCCGCATCAACCTTCACTAGGTGCTGATACGAGCACCGGATGGCTAAGATCTCTGGACGCCTGACAAGAAGTAGTCTAGTACAATGTTAGAATATCCTTCAATAAGCGCCAACAGTAGGAACGGAAAAGATGTTAGTTCCAGACTTCGGAAGCAAACCGTAGTGCTAATTCGAGTTGGTGGGGTTAACGGCTCAAAGCCATTGCAACCCCGGCCGGAATATGTCCACATACGTCCCTCTCCAGGGCTATCTATTCACCTTACCGGTTGGGGTAATAGATGCCGACTGAACACCAAAACACCAAGTTTCATTATATACAACTGTCAGCTGTAGACCATACCGCATGCAACCGCCAGCTATAGTTAACATCCACTCGTCGTCACATTGCCCCTTACATCGCATCTTTCTCCTACTCCGTCTAACCATGGCGCGCCTGTATGTACGGCTTTGTCTACCGTAGACATCATTTGCCGGGCCTGCTTTGGATCAGCTCTGGCGTTTTTACTACTGTGGCTAACTGATTATATTACAGAACAACCTACTCTGCGTCTTTTGCCTTTTTTGAAGCCCTTTACGAGGTAAGAGCTGCGTTGGCACTATTCGTAATCTTCCAGGGAGCGAGCATTGGACTGACTGAGTTGCTATCACCTGTAGGCTGGTGTTCGTTATGTCTTTGCCAACCTTGGATCAGACCATCCCGCTATCATGGAGGCGCTTGCAAAGGCGAGAGAGCTAGATGATGTCAAGTTCCCCACGGTCATCACATGTCCCCATGAGGTAGGTCTTGCAATTCCTATGCCGAGAGTTGAAGGCCTGTTCAATTCCTCGTCAGGGAAATAGATTCGTTCTAACCCGTAAGTGCTAGTTCGTGGCTATGTCAATGGCCGATGGATTCGCCCGTGTCACTGGCACCCCCCAATGTGTGCTCGTACACGTCGACGTTGGCACCCAGATGCTAGGATGTGCCATGCACAATGCCTCCTGCTCTCGTACTCCTGTCTTTGTCTTTGCCGGACTCTCCCCATTTACCCTCGAGGGTGAGATGAGGGGTTCGCGCACTGAGCATATTCATTGGCTACAGGATGCACACGACCAGAGAGCTATTGTCGCCCAGTATTGTCGCTACGCTGGCGAGTTCAAGACAGGCAAGAATATTAAGCAGATGACCAACCGGGCTCTCCAGTTCGCCATGAGTGACGTTCCCGGCCCGGTCTATATGCTTGGCGCGCGCGAAGTCATGGAAGAAGACATACCTGCCTACTCTCTGAAGCAGGAAGAATGGCAGCCTGTTCTGCCTGCCGCTCTCCCGCAGCCAGAGCTAGAGATCATCATCAAGACCTTGGCTGAGGCAGAGTCACCATTGATTCTGGTCGGGTACTCTGGTCGCGATACTTCCACAGTACCAGACCTTGTAACGCTCGTTGAAAGCATTCCTGGAGTTCGAGTTCTCGACGCCATGGGCAGTTCACTGTCTTTCCCCTTCGGCCACCGCGCATCGGTAGGTGTCCGCATTGGAGGACATCCGGCTATTGAGAAAGCCGACGTTATCCTAATTCTCGACTGTGATGTGACTTGGATCCCGACCAAATGTAAGCCGCGAGAGGATGCCAAAATCTTCCATATTGATGTGGATCCGTTAAAGTCCAACATGCCCCTGTATTACATTCCTGCTACTAGGAGATATCGTGCTGACGTTGGTGTTGCCCTCAAGCAACTCAATGAATACGTGCGCACGACTGACAAGTACTCCAAATTGACCAGCCAGGAGCCATACATTTCGCGCTGGAACAAGTTAGCTGGAGAGCACAAAGAACTCCTCGACCAGGCCGCACAGGCCGCTGCTCGCCCTGAAGACACGACCTCATCTCCAAGCACGTCATATCTCTGCGCGCAGCTGCGGCGACATTGCCCCAAGGATACCATCTGGTGTCACGAGACTATTACTAACGCGCCTTTCATCCATGAGCAGCTGCAGGTCGATGAGCCTGGCCATATCCTCGGTAACGGTGGAGGTGGTCTCGGCTGGTCTGGCGGTGCCAGTTTAGGCGTCAAACTGGCATCCGACTATCTAGCTGGGGGAGAGGGCAAGGGCAACTTTGTCACTCAGATTGTGGGTGACGGCACATATTTGTTCGGTGTTCCAGGCACAGTATATTGGGTCGCCAGCAGATACAGCATTGCCACTCTTACAATTGTCTTGAGCAATAAAGGTAAGCATAAGATGAAGGAGCAGACTAGAATGTTCTCTAACAATGAGGTTGTTATAGGATGGAACGCCCCTCGCGTTTCGATGGAACTCGTCCACCCGACAGGTTACGGATCCAGGATTAACAATAAGGATCTCAACATCTCATTCGACCCAACACCCGACTTTTCGGGTATTGCGAAAGCGGCGTCGGGTAACAAGGCGTGGGCTGCCGTGGTTGGCTCCGTGGATGATTTAGATAAGTTGTTACCCGAGGCTGTACAGCAGGTCAAGAACGGTATTTCTGCTATTCTGGAGGTTCGCCTTAAAGGATCATGGGACAAGCCATAGACAGTATCGTTGAGTTTATATTCAACCAAATAAGGGCTCGGTTCTTTCTCATTCCTCAAACCCTTCACGACTGTGATGATCTTTATGTCAAGAGATAGGAGGGATAGTCCTTCAATATTAGCCTGAACCTCATCAGTGTGTTTTCTAACTACCTATGGTGCCTTTATCTCCGTATCATGATCCATAAGTCCTACGTGGTAAGTAATAACTTATCTTGGGAAACACAACCGTCACGCTTGGCCCATATCATGCGCCAGGAGCCCGAACCCAATTCATTTCCCTCAACCAGGACATCCAGAGTCGGCTCCCTGATAGTTCAGCGACCACCCGGTGTGATAGTGGACAAGGCTGCTGAGATAGGAAAACGGGCCTCACCAGCTAGATTCCGAACTGCGAGCCACTACTCAAGATGTTCCGGGTAGCCTACGGTAATGCATGCTGTCCGTCCGTTCTTGATTCCGATACGCTAACGTAGAATTAAGCGGACCTCCACCAGGGATCGGAGCTGCGTGTGAGTTCCGCCCATGTTTAGCAATAATCCGTGAACAATCACATGTAAGTGTGACCTTTATCGCCGTTTATACGGTTATACGCCTACTGAGTATGACGGTTCTCCACTTCATATTATTTGAGCGAATTTGTCATTGAAGCGACTCAAAGTGACGGTGATCTTGACAAGTGCTTCAAAAGAGAATTCTTGTCTGCCCTTCAGCACTTATCATGAATCGCATCATTACCTCAGGGCGCTTCATGCGCAGAGCCAGGCCCACCTTGTCGCGAAACTTCTCGACCAGCAGGACCATTCCTCTCATCATCAATGGCAAAGATATCGTAACAGACAAGACCTTCCCAGCCATTAGCCCGCTCAACAACGAGGTAGTCTGGAACTGTTCTGCCGTTTCGCAAAATCACATCGATGAAGCCATCTCTACTGCAAACGCGGCATTTCCTGCCTGGTCCAAGACCAAACCCTCTCACCGACGCGATATTTTCCTATCAGCTGCCAACATCATGGAGAAGCGAAGAGAGGAGCTCCTCCACTATCTATACCAGGAGATGGGAGCAGGCGTTGATTTCCAAAATTTCATTCTCGGCCTCGCCATTGAGGGTTTAAAGGATACTGCCGGTAGAATTGCTGGTGCCGTCACCGGTAGTGTCCCAGAATCCATTCACGAAGGGATGCGTGCCATGATCCTCAAGAGGCCATATGGCGTAAACCTGGGCATTGCGCCATGGTAAGCACACACCTCACCTGTGTTTTGGCATAGGAATTACTTCTAAACTGATTCTGTTCTAGGAACGCACCCTTTCACCTCGGTTTACGCTCGATTACGTTTCCTCTGGCGACTGGTAACACGGCCATCCTCAAGGGAGCAGAACTGACTCCGGCCTGCTACTGGGCCATCGCTGATGTGTTGCGTGAGGCTGGTCTCCCAGATGGCTGCCTCAACCTCGTCTTTCACCGGGCGCAGGAAGCTCCTGGCGTGATTGAGAGCCTTGTTAGTCATCCGGACATGAAAAAGATCAACTTTACTGGAAGTAGCGGTGTTGGTGCTATTATTTCATCCATCGCCGGTAAACACTTGAAGCCAGTGGTTATGGAGCTTGGGGGTAAGGCTAGCTCTATTGTATTCAAGGATGCAGATCTGACCAAGGCTGCCGAAAACTGTGCAAGAGGTGCCTTTTTTAACGTGGGTTCAAATCCTTGATCTTTTCCATATCTCGCCAGGTTGCTAACCGTCATTCAAGGCTGGCCAAGTTTGCATGGCTACCGAGCGCATTTTGGTGCACTCCTCCATCGCCACTGAGTTCCAAAATGTCCTGGCCAAAACAGTCAACACAATGTTTGGGTCTCAGGAGGACACTCCGGTTCTCATCACGTCTGCCGCCGCCAAGAAGAACCGGGCTCTTGTTGAGGATGCTATCTCCAAGGGTGCGAAGCCTCTGGACATGTTCAAGACGGAGCTAGATGCCAATACTGTCGATACCAAGATGCGTCCTGTTGTGCTTACCAATATGTCAACATCGATGGACTTGTATCGCCAGGAGTCGTTCGGACCAAGCGTGTCGTGGTTCACTTTTGACACAGAGGAGGAGGCTATCAAGCTAGCTAATGACACTGACTATGGCCTCTCAGCATCCATCTATACTGAGAACCTGGGAACTGCTTTCCGTGTCGCCGAGGGGCTAGACTCGGGCGCAGTACATATCAATTCTATGACAGTGCATGACGAGTTCGCCTTGCCGCATGGGGGTGTTAAGAAGAGTGGATTCGGTCGTTTTAACGGGTATCAAGGCTTGGATGAGTTTATGTACTGTAAGACGGTAACTTGGATGGAGTAGGAGAGTCAGGCAGAGCGCAGCATGTTTGCTACAGATCCTGAATGCTAGTGCTGCCAAGTACCCAAAGTGCCTGTCTTGCATAGCAATAACCTGAGAGGAGGATAGCAGGCAATGGTAGCTGTGACGACCAGCTAATTGCACCGAAGTGAGTGTGAGAATGATGTTTTAAGAGACTTTGAATTAGCTAAGATAAGGTTGGTCAGGTCGATCTGGACTATAGATTCCCGGACAGTAGCTATAATGGACCTAATAATGTATGTACGTTTTACTTCTGGCAATATTTCATGTTGACTTACCCTGTGGCTTCTGGCCACTAGTACCTGTAATATCAGCAAATACCATTATACAATGTGTTATCTCAAAGAAAACGGTGATTATCTGACTTAATGCTTGAGATAAACAAGGCTTGACCCTGTTGACAGACGTTTGACGCAGAACACCATGAACATTCTTGGGTGATCTGATAAATGTTCATATTTCTTTCACGAAAAACTTCCATGCACAATTCGGGGCACTGATCCGTGAGCCCCGTATTTGGGGAACCGTTATGATTTCTCAAACACATGGAGAACCATAAAAGTGACTGACAGCCAATTCGCTGCTTTACCGTCAACATGTCAAAAGGTCATCTTTCGTCGCTTTTCCCGCGGCCTACGTCTTCAGTCACCCCAATCGACATCCTCTTCTTGCCTCGCCTAGCTCGCGTATAATCAAACGAGTTCCGGAACAGGGGGGCCTTAGCTTCCTCAGGGCCCCATTGATTTCCGACATCGTTCCGGCACTTGACTTGAAATTGATGATATTGTGGATCTTTCTTTCCGTAGCTTGGGACTGCACCCCATCTGTTTCACACCCCCGTAATTCCAAATCTCCTCAATCTGCTATCAAGAGTAAAGAAAGTGCGCAGATGTAACCAGCGTTGGCGTATAGCCCTTCAAGTTTCAACCCTTGGTTGGCATTGGACTGGCAGGAGAAAGAAAAGGAAATCTGTCTCCTAATAAAATGTGAAATTATAGTATATATCCGAAAAGGCATGCGAGTTGGCTCTACTGGGAAGCCACAAAATCAGTTGTACAAAGGCATCGATTTTGAGCCGTTGCGGCTTGGCTACTTTGTTTTCCCTGAGCTTTCTTTATCTTTAGTGGGTAGACATCTTGTTGATCAACTCAATCATTGGTTTCTGATTAGTTATCTGAGTAACGAAGCGTGGGATACCTTATCTCCACCCCTTGTTCCCCTCTTGATTACCCCGGACAAACAGCCAGCCAGCTAGGTCACTAGGTGCAAGAGCCACTTTTTCCCCGCGTTTTAGCGTTTTAGCGTAGGGTACAGCTTTCATTGTTATCAAGTGTTAGGTTTAATGTCATGGATCTACTGTGTTGCCACCGAACTTTGCCAGTTGAGCCAATGGCAAGACATCATCAGAAGTAGCCGAGTAATGTTCGGGACCCCTGTGAAATGTACTCCGTGTGAGGTTTCCTATCTAGGGGTTCACAAGCTGCAGCCAGCTTGACCTTCGTATAAAAATCACTTGCAGTGCAATTGCGTTGTTTGCGCCACTGTTTGCTGTATCCAAATTTGAGCAACCGTGGTGCTTCAACTGCCTGCCCCCCCTACATTATTTTGCTTTGCCTCGTTATCACCATTTGGGACTTTTCTGTGCTCTGCTGCTCGCCGCCCTTGCTGTCAAACCACCATGAGCCAAAATCAGTCAGCCAAGCGGTTGGCGGCTTCAAAGGGGGAAAGTGAAAGCACAGGGAAGAAGCGAGTGCGATATGCTGCGCGAGCGTGCGACGCTTGCCGCAAACGCAAGGGTCGATGCAGCGGAAGATATCCCTGCGAACATTGCGTCGGTCGCAATCAGCAGTGCGTGTATACTCTGCCAACTAACGATTGGCGCGATGCGAATCCAGCCCAGCTGCAGGATGCGCATACAGACCAGATGAGGCGGCAGCTTGAGCCACATCTTTCGCAACAACAACAACTCTACAACGATGCGTAAGAGGCACATCTGAATCAAGATTTGCGTTCGTTTTACTGAAGTTTGCAGCAGAAATCAGACGGCGTCGCTAGGAAGTCTTTTGGTAAATCTCCAGCAACAAGTTGAATCTCTGGCGGCACAAGTGAGGCAAAATAATACCGACAAAAACGTGCCTCCTCAGTCTCTTTACGCAGCCTCAAGCCAGACGCTAGTAGATCCGGATCTTCAAATCTCTCAGTCTCTAATAACACCTTCAGTTGTCGGGGCTAAGGGCGCTCGCCCGCACAGCAAGTTCTACGGGCCAACAAGCCCGGATTACAGCTTTAATCTCGCTCAAAGCAAGTTGCTGAACCATGCCAATTCTAAGGCGGATAAGCCACTTCCCGTTAGCATCGAAGAGAACCAATCTGATGATGAAGACGTGGAAATCGATCAGTTTGGGAACCTCAACCGCCCTACTCAGCAGCAAATATCATCGTTGCCGCGGCAGCAGAGGTTATTGCTCTTTAGGAACATCCTCAGCTCCAGGGAAGTCAACTCTCTTCTTGTCGTTTTTCAAGAAACGATATGCGAGTACCACCCCATCGTCGATGCCCCGTCGCTCGTTAAAACGGTCGAATACTGGTATTCAAAACAGACTTCTCCGAGTAACTGCACTCTGTCGGCTGTGGATGAAGAGGATCTCATCGTCGCCAATCTTGCCATTGCCGTGGCTCTTTGCGTAGAGTCCACGCTTCCTGGCTCCGAGTCATTACAGGCTGCTGAGTCTCTTTACCTGAGTTGCAGGGAACTGATTAATGCCAAGGTGGTCTCACCAATGCCCACCATCAAGCATATTGTAATCGTCCTTCTAGTAGGACTTCTTCACTACTACAAGAATATGCCCCGGTATGCCTGGCGCATGTGTGGACTTGCTGGTCGAACTTTTATGGAGTCTGGCTTGCACAACACCGACGTGTTACGACATGTTGTGAAAACGGAGGCCGACCTAGAAGAACATGCCGTCATCGTCAGCACCATTTTAGTTCTTGACCGGCAATGGAGCGCATCGACAGGATTGCCAACGAATTTCAGCAACTGGGAATTTGACCTTGAGTTGCGGCAAAGGGTAAATGAGCATTCCTCTTAAGATCTCTGAACTAACCAATGTGGCCTGTAGCTCAAAAACCCGTACCTTAAGGCCATGACAGCCTTCACCGCCATCAGTGACAAATTCAGCGAGCCCATTCTGCGAGGCGCCAAGGGAACGTCTTGTGAAGACAATGATGACTTTGAATTTATGAACTTCCAAATCGAGCAATGGCGAAAGAAGTCGGTGGGCAAGTTTGACTTCGGCCCGCTGCAAAATATGGAACATGCGAACGCGACGCTTCCTCCAGCTTGGGCCATACTACTACACCTCCGTGCCCAAGCCGTTCGCGGAATCCTCCTTCGACCCTTTTTCTTTCCAAACGTGCCAAGCGCAGTCAGCCAGCGTAGCATTGAACCTGGTATCGAGTTGGTGAACTGCATCGTTGACACGTTGACGCGCCTTAACCGGTACACTGATGTCTATCAGAAACAACATCCGCCGTTTCAACACATACTAGCTGCTGGTTGTGCCTTATTGTTCCTCATGCTGGCATATGTTGAGGGGAATCGTGACATCGTCAACGATGCTCTACCAAGCAACTTTTTTGACCAGGCAAAGAGGAACTTTGAGAACGCGTACTTACTGTCAAATACATACAGCAAATCTTCGCGAGCCGCAAGGAGGTTGCAAAGACGCCTCGTGGGCATGAGGGATTTACTGGTCCAAATGGGTGTTCTCCGTCCTGATGAGTATTCCACGCAAGGTCAAAATCAGCAGGGCACAGGCACAGGCACAGCCACGAGCATGACAACTAAGAACATGCAGCAAAATGGCAATGCATCGCTAAACGTCCCCGCCTCACAAGAGATGCAGTCAATGAGGATTCTGAGGGGAACCGACGAACTTCTCGACCCCGAATTCTTGGACTTCGAGAACGAATTACCATTCACTATCAATTCGCCAGCTTCCTCTGACTCGATGCCCTGGTTTGGATCTGGTCAGTTACCAACTTCGTCCCTGGACAAATGGCCTACTCTTAGTCCCGGTTCACTTTTGTGGCAATCTTGAACAAGTGTATTGTCGATGGAATTAAGCATGAGATACTCTTATACCTTGCGCTGAGCTTACTACTGACTTGTTTTGCTTGAATCCGTCCCATCTCTCAAATCCATCCGTGTGAATCCCCATCAAGTCTAACATGCGGCCCACGCTCTGCTTGACCACATCCTCTAGACTGCTGGGGTTGGTGTAGAACGCAGGCACAGGTGGAAATATAATAGCCCCAGCTCGCCGTAAGAACAGCATGTTATCCAAATGGATATCACTCAACGGGGTCTCTCGCACGGCCATAAGTAACCGCCGGTTCTCCTTCAAGGTCACATCTGCCGCCCGCGAGATCAGGTCGTCACAATAGCCGCTTCTGACAGCTGCTAATGTCTTCATACTGCAGGGTACAATGACCATGCCGTCGTGCTGGAATGAACCTGACGCGATGGGGGCTGAAACGTCTCTTGCGGTATAATTCGCATGTGCTAGCGAGCGGATCTGTTCTTCAGTCATTGTCGTCTCGTACTTGAGGGTGGCTAACGCCCATTTACTAATGACAACGTGTGCTTCTATCCCAAGTTCACGTAGAAGCCTCAGCAAAGCGATGGCGTATGGTGCTCCTGTGGCCCCGGTGATCCCCACAACAATGCGACGTGGGCGAGATGGCATTTGGTGAATAGAAGATGAGGTGAAAGTCGGTGATGGGTTCAAAAATTTGCTTGGAACAGAGAAACACCGCCCAGATGTGTGCTTTAGGAAAGGAAAAAGATGATTCTGACGTTGTTGACATTGTAGCCCACTAGCAGACAATAGCTTTGAAGGTGAATGGATGCGTCGGAGCTGAGTAGGTTTCCTCATATTCATATGCGAGTTGGGTTGATACTAGGTGTAGAGGTGACGGTGATTCTATCAAAGGTAGTGTTATCAAGATTGGCGGATTTCAGGGATAGCCAGGAGATGTTTACATGTATGTATGGCATGACAACCAAGAACCTGGACTAATGGTGTCTTGTTTCCGCACGCTCTCGCCCCATACGGCGACGCAAAGACATCATGAACTGAGGAGAAGGAGGGAGAATTGGTGAAGAGTCCATGGACCCTGTCCTGATGCTTTGGGTCGGCTGCTGGTGTTCTCAATTCCTGAGACATGGGCTCGCTAGCGTGCGTGTCTCTTCGGAGGATTCCGTAGCGCCCCGAAATTCGTTCCTAAGTTAGCGTCGGAGACTTTGGTGTAAACATAGGCTGTAACAGGACGACTTAGGGCGGGTGCTTGGGATGACGGCGATATTATTCACATGGATATTAATGTTGACAATTGGAGGGCGACTGGAAGCGGCTGGTTGTCAGTCTTCCGAGCAATTGAGTATCCAACATCAAGCCGTCCTTCTGAGCGCAATGCTACAAGCACCAAGTAAGCTGCGGCTGCTGTCCCCAAGAGGTCTAACCAGCAGTCTAATGGGGCGAGGAGGTGTCTCTGGCGCCCTGCTATCGGACAGAAACTACAGCACTTCTCGATCTGCCGACGGCCCGGACCCCCAAGAGGCGCAACTGGACTACCGCAAATTTCTAGACATGCTACGCCATGACAATGATTTAGTCGAAATCAACACCGAGGTCGATCCTCATTTGGAACTTGGCGCAATTATTCGGCGTGTCAGCGAGGTCAATGACAAAGCCCCTCTCTTCAACAACCTAAAGGGTGCTCGGGACGGTCTATGGCGCGTCGCCGGAAACGCTGCCAGTCTTCGACCGAACGAGAAGGACAGATATGGTCGAATAGCTAGGAGTCTTGGCTTGGAGCCTACCGCCAGTTGGAAGGAGATATGCCACAGATGGCAATCCGGCAAAAGGGCCAAAGTCCTGCCACCTAATGTGCTCCCAACAGGCCCATGCAAGGACAATAAGATTATCGGAAACAAGGTTGATCTCACTACTCTTCCGGTGCCTTTCCTTCACACCGGCGATGGAGGCAAGTACATCCAGACGTACGGTGTACATGTCCTTCAAATGCCTGACGGCTCTTGGACGAACTGGTCTATCTTCCGCGGCATGGTCTATGATAAGAATCGTATAGTCTGTCTTGTCGGTGGTGGCCAACACAATTCCATGATCCGTAATGCCTGGTTGGCTGCGGGCAAAAAAGAAGTTCCCTGGGCCTTGGCCTTTGGTATTCCTCCAGCTGCATCCTTGGCAGCTGCCATGCCAGTACCAGAGGGCGTTTCTGAAGCTGAATATGTTGGTGCATTAGTCGGCAAGCCGCTTGATCTTGTCAAATGCGAGCTCAACAATCTCCTTGTCCCTGCCAACTCGGAGATAGTTTTCGAGGGTACACTTTCACTGACTGATAAGGCTTATGAAGGTCCCTTTGAGGATTATCTCGGGGTGATTTTTGAGGGCGATCAACGCATGCAGCCTCTCTTCACTGTTGACGCCATTACATATCGCAACGATGCTATCATGCCTGTGTCTGTGCCGGGCCGTATCACAGATGAATCGGTGAGACCCCCCCGACCACTGCCCCTCAGCCAACATTCTATATAATTATTCTAACCTGCGGCAACCTGCAGCACACAACAGCAGCACTTGCATCTGCCGAGCTTCTCGAGCTGCTACAACGCGAAGGACTTCCGATCAAAGAGGCTAACTGTCCCCTCGAGACATATGCCACATGGTGTGCCCTGCAGGTCGACACAAAGAAACTGGGAGACATGAAAACTAGTTCGGCCGAGCTTTGTAAAAAGATAGGTGACCTTGCCTTCAAAGACAAGAGTTGTATGCTTGTCAACCGTATCATCTTGATTGGCGACGACATCGACGTCTTCAACTGGAATGATGTCATGTGGGCTATAGTCACTCGATGTCGCCCTGGGAAGGACGAGACTCTATTCGAGGAAGTTAGAGGTCATCCCATTACGCCTTACATGTCCCACGGGCCACACGGCAATCCGACTCAGGGTGGTAAGATTGTTTCAGACTGTTTGATGCCGATTGAGTATCATGGAAAGAAGAATTTCAGGGAATGTAGCTTCAATAAGTCGTACCCGGATCACATAAAGGACAAGATTCAGGCAGGATGGAAGGGTATGGGCTTTTCTGTGCTATCATGAGACAAAGGTCTAGATAGGGTAGCTTGGAAATGTGCAGATATATCTGCAGTCTTGTGCTACAATCTTAATCAGATTAGATAGTAGCTTATGTGGCAGAGATAATGAAACTATTTACAAGATCTATTTCAACTCAATTGTGACTGCGAGGACACGACGGAATCTGTACTACCGCGGGTTTAATATGGTTATTGAAACATTCGTAGTTCGCTGATAGTGATGCGAAATGCGTCAATGGAGGCGAGCAGTACAGAAACGGTGTATCACATGGCCCCTATATGTAACTTGCGCCCGTGAACACGTTGTCAATTTCGGTGGAGGATGCATGCATAGTTTAGATACATAGGATATCCTCACATTGTTGCGTTTAGGGATTCACAATGATATCCAAAATACATAGTCAAGTAGGTCCAGGCTAATTCAGCATCTGAAATGTGCGGAAAAACAAGAAAGATCACACCCTTATTGTAACAGGCTATACTAACCCACTCCCCTACAGCCTTGACTTGTTTTGTAGCTTGTTGATCTTCTCCGATGTCTTGACGAAGGCCTTGTAGGTAGGGAACAGCTCCTTGGGGTCGTATTTCTCACGAATACCAAGGAACTTGGCCAGGGCAGTATCGCTCATAACCTTGGACTATAAGAAGAAGAAAACAACACGTCAGTACATGATCGGACCGTGGGTATTGGCACTGCTCACATTGGCATCTTCACAGTTGATATCTATGTCGGTGATGTACTGGCCCACAGCAACAGGGAACGCTTGTCTGTAATAGTCACGCATGGGCTGCATGATGGCGGGCTCAAGCTTGGGGTCGGTCCAGCCAGTGAGTGTTGAGATATACAGATCTTGAGGCAGACTCAAACAGGCGTCATCCTCATCTGGTTTAATGTCGCAGTGACAGATGAAGACAGAAGAGACGCGGGTCGGCAGTTGTAGCATGGCAGGTCGGATCCCCTCAAGGAGCTGCGTTTGGACAAGGATGGTTAGTGTTCTGCACTACCTTTACTTCTAGGGATACACATACTCGAGCGAGAGGGATATCTGGGTCGTTCATAATACTGTTGATAGACCACCGCTCTTGGCCAGCGTTGCCTAGGAAAGTACGCTTGCGGGCAAAGACTTCCTCAAATGTTCGAACCTGGACAGGTTTTGACTCGATGAGAAAGTCAGCAACTTCAGGTGTGATCCTATCGTATGCGCCGAGTAGAGTGCGGGCTTCTCTTTGTGTATCGGTATAGCAAAGATTATTCAGAGTAAGAACAAGTGTCGCATTGGGAGGAACGTCATCTGTGGTATAGGCCGGGTCGTACTTCTCACGGTAGTCGATGGTCAAGTTCAGATCAGTACCATACTTGGGAGTATCTCGGCCACGCTCAATAGCCCAACTCATCAGGGCCATATAGTTCTCATCATTAATCACGAACTTGAGGGTCTTCTCCCACATGGTAGATCTCTCAATTGTGCGGCCCCAGAAGCGTGTGACTACAGCGAAGAAGCCCATACCACTACCACGAGCTGCCCAGAAGAGATCCTGGTTCTCGGTACGGCTAGCGATAAGTGTGCGGCCATCGGGAACAACCATCTCGATCTTGGTGATCCACGTTTGGTTCGTCGCGCCCCAGCCTCGAACAAACCAGCCCTGGCCACCAGCTAGCATGAAGCCTGCTGATCCAACAGTAGGAGCGTGGCCATGAGGGAAGAAACGGTTGACTTCCTTCAGCTTTGCAGCCAGTTCCTCGACACGGGAGGAGGGACCGAAGCAGATCTCCTTTGTAATGGGGTCATAATCGATGCGGCGGTTCAGGTTGACCGCGTCGATGAGAATCCCACCTTGAAAGAGGGCAGGAAAATGGAAGATATGACCAGAAGATCGAACACCAACAGGTACACCAAGCTCAGTTGCGCGTGCGAGGGCCCTGGCTACTTCGGCAGGTGTCTCGGGAATGTGAATCTCAGCAGGAAAGCGGTCAATCTTGTGGGCAGTGGGATTCATTCGTCGGCATTTCTCGTAATCCGGGTCCCCCTGAATCAGGACCTTCTTGGAGTACTTGGGTGTAGTGGTATAGTGGCGGTCGTCTGACATGGTGTTGGATTTGTGTGATGGTAAGATTGAATGAATCGTGACTGAGGCCGTTTACAAGGATTATAATGCTGCAGAGGGCTATTTGACATTCGAGCCAGCGACAGCAACATTTGTATTCAACTGTCTTGACTATTTCCACACGTCTTTCTCCGCAAACCGTAAACCGCGAACCCCGCGTGATCTCCTTGATGGGTTACAGGATATTCCACTTCGGAAGCTAGGTTGGGGTTTTCATGGCCAGTTAGAAGCCATCGGAACGTTCCTAAGGCATGTTTCCCTCCACCACCTGGATCAATTCCACCAGTATCCATTTGGGAGGACTGCATCGGAGGAATACTCGTCAAGCACTACGCTACGGACTGAGATACCGACCCCACGCTACAGGAGTGCGCCGTGCAAGAGCCGAGTTTTAAGGGCAGTAAACCATCCAAAATCACCCAGTCTGGAATAACGGAATCAGATTTGGGTGAGCCAATGGAATAATCGCTATTACGTACAAGCCATATTCTGTGAATTCACACACTGACTCTCACTTCCCCCATCGTGATCAGCAATTAGGAAGACCAGACCAAAAGCCTCCTCTCAGACACCAATCCGCCAAGTTCCAGACGCAATCTAAAGCCAACACAATTCTAATGGCTAAGAAAGTGAGAGTGGCAGAAATACGCCAACATGGGATACAAGAGGATATATGGATTGTTGTCAATGGCGAGGTATTCGATATGACCGAGTTTGCGCCTGAGCACCCTGGTGGGGAAGAAAGTAAGTGAAGCCTACTGCCACATGCTCTTTGTCACAACAAGCAACAATCATGGAATTGCTAACTTTCTGAGCTCAATAGTCATCTATCAATACGCTGGCCGAGATGCCTCCATGTCGTACAACGAGATACACTCCCCATCGTTGATTAAGAAATCTTTGCCTGCAAGCTGCCATGTAGGCATACTAGACACGACCACAATCGATCCGGCGTGGAAAGGCCAGGAGAAGGACACAAATTCCAAACTTGACGCTACTATCGATACCGTATCCGAGCCCAAGTCCAAGCCCGATCTGAGTGAAATCATCAACGTGAACGATTTCGAGCGAGTAGCGGAAAACTTTCTCGCCACTAAGCCATGGGCAGTCATTCATACTGGCTCCAATGACAACATTACACGCGATGCAAATAATACGTTTCTCAATCGAATTTGGCTTAGACCAGAGGTAATGAGAAAAGTTGGACACATTAAAACTCGTCAGAGATTATTCGGATGTGACCTTTCAGTTCCCATCTACATCGCGCCCACAGGAGGGACGAAACTTGGGGGCGCTGAAGGTGAGATTACACTGGCGCGTGCTGCGGCAAAAACAGGCATAGTCCAATGTTTTGCCACCCCGTCGTCATATCCTCATCTGGAGATCTTGGAAGCTACGGAGAAGCAAGCCTTCTTCCAGCTGTATGTGAACAAAGAACGATCAAAATCTGAGGCCGCCATTCGGGAAGCTGTTGCTACCGGTAAGATCAAGGCTCTCTTTGTAACAGTGGACGTTCCGGTCATATCGAAGCGGGAAGAGGACGAGCGAGCCGCTTCCAATTCGGGGTCCGGACAGACGAGAGACAAGAAAGGGGCAGGGTTTGCGCGGCTTGCTTCGTCTTTCATTGACCCAAACGTCTGTTGGGATGACATCAAGTGGCTACGTAGCATTCTTGGCCATATACCGATCGTCGTCAAAGGTATACAGCGAGCCTCTGATGCACAAATGGCCCTAGCTATAGGCTGTGACGGCATCGTCATCAGTAATCATGGCGGACGAGCTGCCGATGGTGCAGCCCCTGCTATTTTAACGCTCTTGGAAGTGAACAGGGTCTGTCCAGAAGTGTTTAAACGGATGAAGGTCTTGATTGACGGAGGCTTTAGACGGGGATCCGACGTTATCAAAGCCATATGTCTTGGCGCTTCAGCTGTGGGCTTTGGCCGCCCGTTTCTATATGCTCTTGGTTATGGCCAAGAAGGAGTTGAGCATGCAATCAACAGTAAGTTCCTCTACCTTGACTAATTTGACTAACAAAGCTCACTCGGGTTTCAGTCATTAAAGACGAGATAGAGACCGCTATGAGGCTTTGTGGAATGACGGACTTGATGCGGGACGCTCACCCTGGTTATGTGAACACGAGAGACCTGGATCATTTAGTTCCCGGGCCAAATGATAATCTTCCAAGCAGACGCCTCCTTCCAGAGAGCAAATTGTAGTCAGTTGCCAGACTAGGGTTAGATAGTCCAACAAGTCCTTAGTATTTCGCCTCGTGTATAGTGTTCCCAAAATCCTGGTTAATGTAGCGCCGCTTAACCGAGCCTGATATTACCCATAAGTCTACAGGGTCGGGTAAGCGCAGATCGCGGACTGAGCGTTCCGCTTGCCAGCGTAGAGTCCGTTGACTAGATCCCAACGTCAAGTCGGAAATGCGGGGTGTTCACGGAGATGCGGGATGGTCCTGGTCGTTGGTCTACGCCACATAATTGAATGAGTTTGATTGCACCCCCTCCCTACTCTTGGACAGTTGAGCTTGATGCAAGTTTTACTGGGCAATAATGGCTTCGGCGAGGAACACTGTTGGTGAAGTGAGACCAACGAGTTGCTTTCTCAGGGAGGAATTGGAAGTTTAGTCGGAACATGCTCACGGAGACGCGTTCCGCCTACACCACGTCTTTAGTCACAAGATTGACTCGTTGCCGCGCTAGCTCATCTTCTTCACGCTATCCTTTCCAGATGATATGATATGCCTGGTGAGGGGAAGCCTTCCGCTTCGCGTATGAATCCTGTCCCCTGCAACATCTCGCTGTTCAGAGACAGCATGTTGGATATAAGGAACACACACGAGGCATTACACACACACTCTCCCGCTTGTTCTTGAAATCATCACGCGTTGCTCTT